GAACTGCAGCTTCTCTAGCACATTAATATTGCACAGGCTCCCAGCAGACAGAGGCTCAAAGCAGTTCAGGACCAGAGAGTGCCTCCTCTTGAGACTGAAATGAGCTACAGATGAACTGAAGCACCTCCTGAAGCCATAGGAAGAGCTCAGCTCATCTCAAAGCCTCTGGAAAGAGAGTTCCCAATATCTGATTGCCAGTCAGCTGGGACATGCATGGGGAAAGGAACCACTGCCAGGCCCAAGCCCTGTACCTGGCTCTTCCCAGGTACAGCACAGGCATGTCAGTGAAGCATCAGGGCATGAGTCCCAGCCCTGGCACACAGTTGCCTGTGACCTCAGCCAGGGCCCCCAGCATTGACCCAGGCAAGGTGTGGGCACAGTGTGAGGGTCAGCAGAGGTCAGCAGAGGCCAGCAGTCCCCTGTGTGCAGGCAGGCAGCTGGACAGCGGCCAAGCGAGCCCGTTGGTGTGGGCGCCTAGAAGGATCCCTACCCTTTACTGGGCAGCAATTTATCTGCAGAGACAGCCACGAGCTTGAAATATAAATAGTTGTATCTAGCAATGGGGAATGGAAACTGTCCTGGTCATTGGTTTTGATGTATTTATGGCTGGTTTTAACGTAAATCTGAGTTTTCACTGCCAACGGTCTAAGCCTGCTGAGCATTCTCTCCTTCCGCCACCATATTTTGGCAAAAGTCAAAAACAAATGCATTTACATCTCCTACCTCCTTGCCTCCAGTATTTTGAAGGGATGAAATGGATTGTGAATTGGATGGAAATCTGTAGCACTCCCTATTCAGACTTCAGACTGCAATCATAGCTGTGCATATCTGAGCAGCCATCCAGATGCTAATGGAGCTGATCCTGTGTCAGTAAGATTAGAGAAAGGCCTCCATCGTTTAATTTTTAAATATTTATTGCCTATAAATCGAAGGGCCAACACATACTGAGATAACAGGGGAAATATCTTTTCTTGCCTGTGTTAACAGTAATGTTATAAGATAAAGCTGTTATTTTAAAACTTGACTTATTTTCACTTTTCACTAGTGTTTTTAACTGTCCTGAAAAGAAGGATGTTTATACAATTTTGCAAAGAAACATGAACTGTTCTACTCCATTTACATTTCTTTGTTCCAAAATGTATTCCTCTTGTTGAGATTCCAGCAGACAAGGAAAGCAGACACAGCGGTTACTTTCCAATGTGAAACTTAAAACCACAATCTCCCGCTCAGAAAACACAGAATGAGTCACAGGAAGGGGCCACTTGCTTGCAAAACTCATTAAAAGCAAGGCAAGGCAAAATGGATTTCCTGTATCAATAAATAGATTGCTGGCAGTAGGCAGAACACCTGACAGTGCTGGAGGCTAAAAACCGGTCCAAGGGTAACCATTAGTAAAGTCAGATCAATTCTTCAGCCCAGAAACTCTATCTCTCCAGTACACAGTTTTCTTGGAATTAGTTGGCTTAATCCAGCAAAGTGTTTAAGAATATGCATAAGTTGCAGCTCAGGGAGGGATGAGTTAAACACTTGCTAAAATAGGCTGAAAAATGATGATGTCTGTATTTATTCACAAGCTAGCTGTATTAAGAGGATGCATGCATGGTACCACTGAGGTGCAGATAGTGCAGGTGAAAGCTTTGTTTCCCAAGTTCATGAAAAAATAATAAAGAAGTCCTAGTCCTTACATAAGCTTAAAATTTAGCTGTAATTGCAACTTTGTTTTGCTGTTAGCAGTACTCCTTGGACACTTGAGCATAGAATTCCTCTTGTTCAATATTATTCTCTTCTGTCTGGCAAATGAAGCCAAAAGGGCCTTCTGATGTCTTCTGTGCAGCACAGACACACGGGATCTCAGGCTGTGCTCCTAGGGGGCACAAGGCAGAGCCCAGTGCCTGACCCAGCACCACCCAGGGTCAGCACAGGGGTAGGAACAAGAAGGTGCTTTTTGGCCACTTGCTCTGGTTTTGTTCCCTTTCTCTAGTTCCCCTTAAAAAAGAAAAAAACTTAATTCTCATTTTACTTTTATTCTTCTCTCTCACTTCCCAATGGCTGTAAAGGTCTCGATGAAGGTCTCTTCCCACAGCATCCAACAGCTGTAATTCCTCAGCACTGTCTCTTGGCTCCCATTTACAAGTAGCCCTTTGATTGCCTATTTCCAAAATGCTACTGAACACAATGAGGGACTGTATTTTACTGCAAGCACAAGAGTGAGACTACCTGAGGTCATGGCACAGTGAGTATATTCCCTTCACCAGTGTACTTTGCTGGAGTTTTATGAAAAGAAAGAAAAAAAAATAAACATAAAACAAAGAAAACTAAGAACAACCCTCAGACTTCACCTTTTCATGCATTCATAAAGGAGCTGCAAGTTACATTAGTGATATTTTTAGGCACTATCTCTTAGCATCAACCATCTTCTGACTCTGGCAATGAACTATCCTGAGGTACTTGATGGCACATGCAATGCATATTGAATTAAGGCTATTTATAAGGATGAAAATGTAGCATTCAGGAAATATTCCCTACCTTTCCCATGGCATCAAAAGATGCCCCCCCCCCAACAACTTTATGTTTTTTGCTCCTAAGGAGCTTCCTCCCCCAGACTACTGTATCTTTAGTGTCAATGGGGTCTTCCAGGAGCAATGAGAGCATCCTTATAAAGTTTGGTTTGCTGATGCAAAAGCACCATTTCTCTGACTTTTAATTAAAAGGGTACCTTCATTTCAAAGTCTGTCTCCAGAGCTCCAGGGTAAATGTTTATACAAGGCAGAGACATATAGAAGATAGAGAAGACTGAAGAAGCAGTGACTGCAGGCTGCCCAAATACAGCTGCTCTTGTATTTTTAACAGAGAACTTGAGATGCCGCAGAGCCTTATCAACCCCAAACATCTTTGTTTCCATACCAGCACTCACAGGCCTGGCAGTATCACTGTACTGCAGTGAGGCTGCTCAGCAAACCTGGCAGGGGAGCAAAAGGCACCACTGTGTTCTCAGGGACAGGAGGAAAAAAGGTTATTGGCTTTTCCCCAGCAGGATGGCCTGTGTCAAAGAGAAGCCCACAAAACAGGCTATCTGGTCTCACTGCCATGGATGGATGACAGCATCCCCATTCAAAACAGATGGACAGCTTTTGCTTAGGTCACACTAGGAATTAGACAAAAGGAAGATTCAAAAATTCTGGGCTGGGGTAGGATTCCTGACTGCTCTGATTTGCTCCAGTTCCCGTCTGGTTGCTCTTGGCTCCAAGGTGCTGTTCCTATGTCCCAAAACAGCCAGGGCCCAGATCCTGGTCCCATCTCCCTCAGTAAACTCTTACAGATTTAAAAGGCTCTGGGTAAAACACTGCAGCTGAACAGCAAAAATAATATAAGTGACACTGGATAGCCCCAGTAAGAAACAGGCAGTGGAGACTGGAGATACAAAAGCCATGCTTTACACGTTCAGCAGTTCTGCAAAAGCACTCTGCCATTATCAAAGAACACAGAAAAATAGGAAAGTCAGGAAAAAATTTATTTTTGCCTTTATTACAATATATATTTCTACTCTTTGCATTCAGCAGATCAAAATGAAGTGTTAAAACTATTTTCATCACTGCAGTAGCACATACATATACAGAGTAAACACTGTATATAAATAGGCTTTCAAATAATAACAAACCATATCTACAAATAGAAAATATCCAATACCTCTTTCTCCTCCTTCCCCAAATTACAGCAGTAACATTTTATGTTCAGCATAACTAATGTCACAAGTACAACATTCTTTCCCTCCCATGACCCAGCTAGAGTGGTGTGGTCATCAGCATCAAGAAAATAAACATTAGTCCCTCCTCACTGCTGCATATTCTAGTTTCTGTGTATTGTATGAATAGAATATACCGTGATTTAATGTGTCTGCATACTTATGTTAACATATTCTTTCTGTAACAAAAACCAGCATTACACTGCAAGCAAGGTTGATTTTTTTTCTTTCACAGAAAGAGTAGCATTTTTTAATATATTTTTCTGCTACATGAATTAACAAAGCAGTTTAAATATTATGCTAAAATTATTCAGCTACCAAATCAAAATGTCTTATACGTTCTGGAAAGTATGGTGATGCTTCTAGCAGGTCAAACCCCTGATTTTCATGTAAGTGTCTTTTTTGTCAGTAAATTTGATAAAAGTTACAGCAACACACATTCCTGACAGTGTTCAGCTATATTTCCGTTTCATATACAAAGGGGGATGCAGCAACTCAGAAGCGAAGCTCTGAACGTCACAGAATCACAGAAAAGTTGGTCAGAAGGGACCCCTGGAGGTCATGCAGTCCAACTTCACCCTTAAAGCAGATGGATACCAACACTAGATCAAGTCAACCATAACCCTGTTGAACCAAATCTTGAAAAACTCTGGGACAGATTCTGCAGCACCTCAGGGTTACCTGTACCAGCACTGCACTGTGGCCACAATTTGACAATTAAAACAGTTCCTTATTCACATTATCATTTGGTTTTAAATACTAAAGGCAAGAAACAACCCTGGATTGCCCATTTATTAAGTTATAAATAAATATATCACAGGCTTTAATTGTGGAGAATTTTCAGGGACCATCTTTTCTGGTGGGAGTTGCTGTGTGTACCATCTAGGGAAAATATATTTTAACTACTGTTAAGGATAAAAACCACAAAACTGACAGCCTCTCACTGAAGAGAACAGTTAGTTTTATTTTATATATTTTATATAATAAATGGCTTGAAATAGGCCTTTACCAAAACAGAATTTAAATAGGATGCAGCTAGTACATCTGTCAATTTATTCAATCATTAATGACAAGTATTAATAGGTAATTAAAGGAAAGTGTGGCTATATTTAGAGATGCAACAATCTCAGTTTGCAATCTGCAATCCCCACTGATTGTCTTTCAGAAAATCCACCCCATATTTCTTACACCTTGAAGTAAAAAGATATTTGCATTTTCTTTAAACTTTCAAGAGAACACAATCAGTTCTGGGTTGTCAAACACACATTTCTTCCTCTTTGTGTCTAATCCTGATATGTCCAAAGCAGATATTTACCTTTCCTGAAGTAGCAATGTTCATGTGAAAGGAAGACTTAGGGAGGGCTCTCCACTGCACACTGCAGCTATGTAAAGCATTGCACTTGTTCTCATTACTATTGAAGGCACAGAGAAATCATAAATCGGCCCACTTAGAACCCAGATAAAGTCTTCAGTAGTAAAACTTAGAAAAACCCTACCAGAGAGTTCCCATCCTATCTACACTGCTATCACTCTTGACATGCAAAACCAGAATTTGTTGTTACAAAAGAAATGCGATACAGAGCAGCCATTTCCAAATTTCTGGGTGATAAACAACCATAATCACATCTTAAAATTTCTTCTGGACCACTCTGCCTTCCTGTTAATAAACTCTTAAGTGAAAACACTACAAAGCAGCTGCAAAACACTTACCATAGCCTCAGATCACAAGCTGGCAGAGACCACAGCTTGTGAACCACCAGTGTAGTCATACTGAAATACAATGTACATAGAAGCCCATGATGCCATTTTCAGCATTTCAGAGAACAATTAGACTTTTCAGTATATTCCAAAAGGAAAAAAAAAAATTCTTTCCTATCTACAACATATTTGAAATCATTTGGCATGTGGGCACTTGGAGTCCATATTTTAAGTACCACATTGTGTAAAGGCAGACCATTTGGAAAATGTTATCAACTGATCCACAGTATTGCTTTTAGTGCACACAGTTCAGTCTTAAGGCTGTCAAAAGCAATATCTACAGCTTGTGTCTGGATAAATATGGAAAAAAAGGAAAAAAAGGAGATTTCATTATCTTAAAGGAGAGTAAATTGCACTAAAAGTATCCATTCTTTGTGATACAAAACAAAGCAAAAAAAATCCATACAGTAAAAACCTGAGATGCGTCATTCGCCAGCATCAGAATTCACATTTTAACCAAAATAATATTTCAAACAAAACTATTCCATTTTGATAAAATCCTTACTATTTTTGGCTCAGTAAAAAAATCTTCAACCTCAGCACACTGTGTGTAGGAAAGATGTGTTTACTGAAAATCACCCACTTCAGTAAGGTGGGCACTATCCACAGTGGCCTGTATCTTCCACTAGAACACATACAGATCCAAAAAGCTACTCCCAAAGTATGATAGTTCTCAAACTGAGAAAGACTGGAAGAATCTGGCCATCCTATTTCATTTACTTTCTATTTAGAATACATATAATTTATTTCCTCAGAAGTGTCCCATGTCAAAACAGGCTGGAATCAATCAAACAAAGCTCAATTGGTTTTGACAGCTACACTGATTTACATCTGCTGAGGACCTCGACCAGTAACTAACTCTTAAACAAACAGTTGTTGGTCAAGCAAGGGAAGATAGGAGGAATCATTTGCTCCTTCAGAGAGAAGGATTTTGATATATAGATTGTAATCCCTGTCTGTGTCACCAGATAATGTCAGGAATGGTGAGCACCTTCAGCTCCCTTACTGGCAAGGGGTTCTGACAGGATGGAAGATGGCTTCAGTGATGCAGAACAGATGTGGAATCACTTTACAACCTTATGGCATATTTACCTGCAACCTCAACATCACTGCACTTTTAATTGACCTTATATAATGAAAGTGCATGGCAAAATTTGAGGACCTGGGAGAGGACCTAGAAAAGCAACTCCTATTCCTAACAAGACTCCTCTTGTCTGGAAACCTAAGTATGAAAAAGCATTCCTAAGTTTGCTCACAACAGAAGAATACAATGCTCACAACTTCACAGATTCCAACTGAACTGTTAACAGCAAAAGCCAAGTGATGTCCTTTCAACACAAGCCAACCCAGTCTTTAAGGTGAGACCAACAATTTGGAGACGTGGTTAAGATGAGGCTGGATGTACATCCTGAGTTTCAAATGGTGGCAGAGGTTCTCTCCAGTAGGTGAACTGGCTGTAGGTGTCAGAACAAGGGAAGTCTGAAGAATGACTTCTTTTCAGCAAAGGGAAAATGTGATCTACCACTTCACAGAGTCTGACATAGCTGGAAAATAAAAAAAATAGAATGCTGAACCATTCCAGATCATCTTTATTTTGAACTTTTTAAACATCCCAATCACTAAGGCGTGACTACATTTACAAACAGACAAAATGGACAAGTGACCCTCCTCAAAGGAATAAAACTAAATTGAATTTTGGTGCCCAGCTTCCAGAAAGGATTCACAGTTGGTGTAAGAAATTCATTCTAATCCATTCATTCTAACACACGATACTTACCTGGTGAGAAACAGATGCCATTTTACACCCAGATCATCTGCTAAAATATTCAAGCACCACATTCTACTTCTCTGTTTCTGTCCAGCTTGGCTCAAGCAGCTCCCTGCTCAACTGATTATTCATATTTGATACACATATGGCTGCCCTTCAATTAAGGACACCAACACTTAAAATTACTAAAAGCCATTCCAGTGTTAGGGGTTAACAGTGCCTAAGCATCTTTCTGGAAGCATTTGACCCTCTCTTGAGATTTTGTTTTCTGGCTCTTCTAGATAGGAGATCCAGGAAAAGGAAATTTTGAAAAGGCCAGGAAAAGGCAGATGGCATCAGCACACTAGCGAGTCCCATTTTTATGCAGACTAAATCATCCACTTTTAAATCTTTTACATGAATAAAGTAGATGGAATTTATTATATTAAATATAAAAAAATTATTTTTGTCAGTTTAGCTGAAGGGAAGTGGAAAGTCTGTATTTTAATCTAAATCTTTTTTGTTTGGTTTGAAGTATTCTAAAGAATCTTTAATTACTAAAATTGAATGGATCTATGGGCAACTTGAGTCATAAGTTAGAGTAAATTAATTTAGTCCATGAAGTGTTAGGGATAAGAGATTACTTACGATGAGATGTTTGTCTTTGCATGTTCTTGTATAAGTTCTCCTTTAGGGTTAACTGTAAATATCCTGTTTAAAGAAACCCCCACTTGTTTGTATGAATAAACATCCTAAAAAGAATAAAAAGAAGAAAAATCATGATTCTGCCTTTGCAAAATCATGTGTAATCTTGCTGTAATATATTACACAAAAGAACGTATTTACACAGAACTGGTACTAAATTTACCTAGTTATTGTGTGCCTGAAATTCTCCATTATGTTACAAATGAGGTCCATCTAATGAAATGTTCATGAAACAGACAATTTCCTGCTAGATAAGAAGTTTGCCACTTCAGTTTAAACTGTTAATCAAAATCATGTTCATTTTTTTCAGTTAACTTCCCTTGACACAATAATAACATTCAGTAAAGAACTAATGACATTTGGTGTAAGAGCACATTAACACCTTCATTTTTCTTTCAGAGAATATTTAATGTCCTGTGTGCATTGTACCAAGTATGTTACAAGAGTGTACAGAGGTTAAAATGTAACTGACACATAAAACAGGAATTATTTTTTAAGGGCAAGGTCACAAAATTCATAACAAATATGTCTATATCAAAGCCATCACTTAGCTCGAGTTCAGATTTGTGGCATATTCATATGGCATACTCCATGTCAGAACAAGGGAAAAAGAAGGGAAAGCAAGATATAGATGCTAAAACAGCAGCAGTGAGCCACAGCAGGTAATGCAGATACAACTATGGAAAGTACAATCAGAAGTCAGAATTAAGAATGTCTTCTACAAAACTCATATTGTTAAAGAAAACAATAAATAAGTTTTGATCTGCTCTGAAGAAAAGCTTGAGAAAACCAAAATTGAAAATATCTCCCAGAAGATCAGAGCAAAACCAATTTCCATTTTGCTAACATAAATCATGGTTTCAAAAGCCAAGATGGTGAAAAACTGGAACGTTAATGAAACCACAAAGTTTATTATTATTTCTATATTGTTAAGACTGTTCAAAAAATTAAGTAACTGAACAAAAGTGAAGAGAAGTCACTTCAAGAATTCAGCATCATGGCAGTCCAAACAATGTCTACACCTCTAACACCCATGTGTACAGAAATTTCCCTGAGTTTGTTCTTGGAAAAAACAATTGAAACCAAAACCATAACAAAACAACAACAACAACAAACCAACTTCCAAAAAAAACCAAAATAGAAAAACAACAGAAAACCCAGAGCAGAAAACTGAGAAAGTTGTGATCCTGAGCTATACAAAACCCATGGCACATTGCACACCTCAAGCCTGCACTCTGGCAGCAAGCATGAGAGTGATTACTTCAGAAACAGTAACTTACAATTTAACTTAAAATAGTATTGAAATAAAATCATTATTTTAATGCATGTTTCCCTGAGGTTCAAAAAAAAATGGAACTAGAGGTAGTTATTATCCATAATACAACATCACAGAAGTTTTTAAAATGTTATTTCATAATCATATGTTTAAAGGTGCCTTGATAATGGAAACTTAGCTGCCTATAATATAACAGTTCAATACAGCAATGGGATAGTGAGGACCTCTGTAAGCTCTGACAAAATGCTTTTAAAGAAGGGGTAATTACATGCCAGGGTCCTCAGCCCAAGCCCATGAGACTGTTTCCTTCTCTTAACAGCATTCTTTGGTCCAGGACAGGAGCTTTCTATAGCCCAAATATCCAGTCTTCCAAAAGGTGATGGATCTGTTTTTCATTTTCTATGTCTAATATATCACTTTCCATCCTTTTCTATGTCCAATATATCATATTGGACATATCCTTTTCTATGTCAAATGTATCACTTTCCATACAAAATAGGAGCTTTTGACTTTGATGGGACATTCAAGGTTATTTGAGTGTACTTAGAGAAGTGTAAATCCCACCAATATTAATCTGGAATATTTTCTGTCTGCCCACAGTTACCTCACTGCCACTGTATCTGTGTGGATTAAAATGAGATTACTGTTTCTACACAAGCTTAACTGCTAATTTATGCAGATATAACCTAGTTACTTTGCTGCTCTTCCATCTCTGAATCCTACATCATGGTATTTTTGAGGAAGAACTTTAATACTTTCTTTTGTACAGGGCCTAATAAAATGTGCCTAATTCTCATTTAAAGCTTCTAGGTTCTAATACAACACAACCACGAAATAACAGCAATGTTTCTGTTCTCTGCAACAGAAATAAATTCAGCTATTACTTACAGCAGGTCTGTTTCCAAAAGCAGCATAAAAGGGCTCTGTGTTAGGATAAAACAAATTCTTGATGTCTGTCAAACACTGAACTTTAAATTTTTCTGGCTTCTTTTCTATGACCTCCCTGAAACGATAAAAAGGAAGCTGAATAAGTACACATGAAATACACCACAAACCATTTTATCTTCTTTATTCAACATTTTCACCTGGCTAGATACTACTGCATAGCATCCACCCTTCTCCAATAAATCTTTCAGAAGTCAGATTGCCCATGAAAACAGAACAGTATTCCCAAGCTTACATAATGGGCATAGTAAATAAATCCTCTGAAACAAGGTAACTTCTATTGAAGCCTACATTACAATGATGGCTTACTGAGCAAGGATACTGGATTACAGGGAGTAGCTGCTAAATCAATCCTTATGAGACATAAACTCTCACCAAGTAAACTGCCTCCTGAGAACTGCAGAATGGTTCATAGATTATATTAGCCCTCATTGTTTATGGTGCTGGTTTTTTTTTGAGATTTTATTGTTAAAACAATTGCAATCACCATATGTGCTAGAAGCACCTCAGCCTGTTAAGACACAATTAGAGTCAGGTTCACCACCACTGCTGATGAGCAAAAGTTAAGGAATAAAGGAATCTTCTATTTCTCTTCAGCTGCTTCTTGCAGAATAGAGAATTCATTAATGAACACAGGAGTTATCTCATTTCTGGGCAAAAGCCCTTTCACAACAACTTCTCTTGGCAAGAGGAGTGAACAGGTGGCAGAGTCTGGAGTTCCCATAACATAGGAAGATGCCAGCATGACACAAAAACACTTAAGAAGCTCAGAATCCAAGATCCTAGTACCAACACAAATGTCAAGGAAGATGTGAATAGTACAGAAGTGTCATGGGAGTAAAGCAACCCTTTGGATCCATGTATAAATCAAGGCCTGAGAATGTGCAAAAGATGAATAAAAACCACCTTTCCTCAGTCTCACATACACTTGATCTCAAACTTACAAGGATTAAATTTATGGATAAAACAGTGAAGTAAATTTACTGCCCACACACCTCAGAAGTTACAATAGTGTACACTGAAAGATGGGCATTCCTTAGTCTAAACAAGATACCAAAAGGAGTATCATTTTAAAGGTATTTCTAGATACAAGGAGCATAAGATAGCAGTAACTACCCTTCACTGCATTTATTACTTAATCAGTCTGAGAAGTGCACTCTAATACCTCCATGGTTTCTTATATTTAGAATGTGGCTGGTAAGACAGCCTGTAGCATGTCACTCAATCAGGAGAACATCTGAACAACCTTCCATTAAAAATTCTAATGAAATATATCTTGTCACAGCAGCTTTTAACAGCTTAAAATATTTTCAGTAATCACTTGACATGCTTCGCTGCATTAGGCAGAAGGTACAATATTCATAATCTGTGCTGTTATTATTCACTCACCACAGTTCAACACCTAGGAAAGATAACATTGTCCTCACAGAATCCCACAGTGAAGTCAGCCATATAGAAAGTTCATTTCATTTTCACATGAATTTCTTCAAAACCCATCAAGAAATAACCTTCCACAAAAATATACTTATGCCAACTGGAACACCTTACAGGTAAAGGCAAGAATGATTGCTATGAAAATGTCCACAGAAATATGGGAAAAATGTGGACATTTCTCTCTAAATATGAACACACAATGTTAAACACATGAAGTCACCAAGCAGTACCTACTGGTAAACAGTGAACAAAGCTGTGCCTTAATATACACCTAAGATATAGACTAGGCAAAACTAGATAATGAGTAACTACTGAATTTTGGTCTTTCTCTAACAAAATTTCTTAATTAAATTTTGCACCAATATGTAAAAAAAAAATTAAATTATTAATTATTTCAAGCACTCCCACTCAAAAAAGCTGATAATTCGGACTCCACCAACCTTAGTATCTGTCTCTGTAAAAGCAAAATTGCATTACCTGTGAAGAGCTGAGAATAGGCTGCTTGGACTCAGCAAAACTGGCCCCTGAGGCAGCACAGTTCCTCTTTCATTGACCCAGTGCAAGTATCCTCTGGTCATGCCTGCCATTCCAATAGCTCGTGCTGAGCAGTACAAAAATTTATATCCATTTCTGTGAGCAGATATAAAAGAAGAAACTACTGTAAAAATAAAGCAAGTGTTTAGATAGTGATAATTTTGTGGGTTTACTTTTACATGAATCAATCATGGCTGTTTAACAGTATGTTTAACCCAGACTTAATTTAAAAAGAGTAGAAACATTTATGCCAGAAAACTGGGTAATTAAAACCGATCTGGCCCTGCTGCATTTAGTGATTACACCTAAAGAGGGCTCATTTATCTCTGCTCCTCTCAGGCCTTGTGACTCCTTATGGTTATCTTTCCACCCGTGTGGTGGAACCATTGTCCTTAGAATTAACTGGAAAGACATCTGCAAAGAGGAAAACATTTGGCATGAAGCAGACAATGGTATATTGGCCTTTGTTGTATTAACAGTGTTGCATTCCTGCCTCTTGGGCCTCTGCAAAAAAATATGTCCAGCAATAACACATTTTCTCAAGCTGGAACAACTTGAGCTTCAAAACACAGTATGAGAAGTAATCTTTAACCTGACACTGAAATGAAAGTTTTGGCATAAGTCACAGGTTGCCTTTGATTCTGCTCATGTTAGAATGGAATCCTATCTTATATTAGCTCAACTTAGCAGCTTACTTTCCAATTCCTATTGAAAAATTAATTTTCATAAAACAGACTGTATTCAGCACACGCATGGTCATTAGATCTAACTATTAAGCATTTATATGGTGTTCAGCTGTAATATAGCCACGACATAATTAACTCAGTAATTTGAAAACCAACATGACTCAAATCTATTTTTTGCCCTATGTTTATGATCATCAAAGCCCTAACAACTGATAATGCTGGTAGGCACAGAAAAAACAACTGCAATTAAAAAAATTAATTAACATTTCCACCAAATGTAATGCAGAGGTTATACATAAAACTCAGCATGTGAATTCCCAGACTGTCCTGTATTTTCTGTGAACATGTTTGTCTAACATGCAGAGAAGTGTCTCTGGCATAATTTAGATTCCAATATCCATAATTTATAATTCATCATCCATGTAAAACAAAAAGCAATAAACGAACCTTAGCATAACTCTAGTACACAGAACAAATCAGATTAACTAAGAGGAGAGTAGTGATGTGTACCAGAGGCTCCTCACACGTTCGTGGTAATTTAAATATATAAGAAAAGCTGACATTCTTGCAATAAAGGAAAAACTCACAGATAGAGGGCTTTTGCTTTTGTTGTCACAAAGCAGGTTTTGCTCTGCATATCATGCAGGTAACATTGACACTGTGTAAGCATCACTAAAGCAAGAAGATATTGATGAAATTGACACCCTTATAGGTTAAGAGAAGCCAAGAGAAATTTAAATTTTTACACACAAATGAATAAACACAAGCCACAGATGCATGCAGATTTACTGAATACTCACTGGCTCACTTTATGGTACAACTTTGCAATCCCTTGGTGTGTCCAGTCTTTGCCAAGAGTTGGCAAAATATGACCTAAAGTATCTGACCTAAATAAATGAAGAACAATATAAGTGAGCTGAAAAAACCCCATAGTTATAATAACAGTCAAGTCTAATATAAATCCCACTAACTTACTTGGAAGCTGCAAATGGAAAAAGGTATTCTGTAAGGAACTGATTGTCATCAGAAGAGAATTAGGTTATTTCCCTTTTCTTTTTAGATAGACTGACATGCTCATCCTTGGCCATGTTGTTTAAATTACTCCTGTGCACCAAGATGGATAAGCTTGTGCCCCAAAAGGTAATACAGAAGTCACAGCACACAAGCATCACTCAGACCTCTAGGAGGCCACCAATGCTAAACATAATTTTGGAGGTTTATGTTAAATGTTTTCTAAATAAACCAAACCTACCCATAATGGACATTTATGAGAAATTTAAAGTATGAGGTAAGTCACATTTTAGCTTACTTCAAACTAACTTCTCCACATTAAGCCAGGAGTTGGTCAGGCGTAAACTATTTTCAAATATTCATTCTGGCTTCAATGTATTTCTGGCTTTATATGATAGAAAAATATTTACACTATAATAACAAATAGTGCAAATGAGCATCTTGCTTGACAAAGTACTGTACAGATACACAGTAACAAGTCCACACCCTGAATAACTTGCATCTTAGAGGAAGAAATATTAGGCAGTGGCTTAGGTTGGATTTGCACTGGCACTGTAAGGTGAAGTGATTCAATAACTCTGGGCAGATCAACAGCAGAGGGAATAGATCCCACTCACTTCACTGAAGCTTAAGAAAGTAAAGTGGGGAGAGATGTTAATTTACATTGGCACCAAACGAGAAGTTTGACATACAATGGATAAATCACAAGGAAGAAGAGAATTTCAGTCTAAATCAAGTATTTTAATTTCCCACAGACTGCTCTTGAAAATTATTTTTCCTTGTTTTTTTCCTAATTAGATATAGCTAAGTTTGATTTTGAAATAAATTAATTTCAAAACAAATTAAACATCTCACTACAAAAGACAATGCTTGTATTTTTATTTCATGTTTTCCCTGTTACACACACAATTGTTTTCCCTAGTGTTAAATACAATAAATAAATAGAAACCAGCAAGTCAGTAAAACCTTTCAGTCACTCCAAAATTAATGAGTTTTACCCAAACTACAAATCTGAAACTTTCCATCAAATTCTAGTTCTGACATTGATTTTGGAGTCTAGTCTTCTAAGTAATAATGCCTAAGACTGGAATGCCCCAGGAGTGCCATTTAAAACAAAATTCATGTTTCTTCTTTTTACCTACATCATGAGTGTGATGCAACAAAAAGGTCAGGATTTTGCAGAAGGTCCTCCAACACTATCATGAAACGCCAACAGGTAACAAATAATGGGTACATATGGCATGTGTCTATTAAATGAGGAATTCAACTAAAGATTGTTGTATTGTTTGAAAGCCAAATGTAAAAATTAAAAAAAAAAATTAAAAAAAAAACAACCCAAAACCAAGAAATAAAATGTCCCAAAACACTTGTATATGAAGATTTTATGATTAACTCCTTGTTAATTATATTTTCCTTTAAGCTAAAGAGGAAAATCCTTGTATATAAAGCCTCTCCCTGTTCATGAACTCACCGTGTGATTGTTCCATCAATATCAGAAATAACAACTTTATCATCCCAATTCCATAGGTAAATGGTGCCTTCACAGCGGCAAGTGCCTTGATACTGGGTTGTAACACTAAAGGTCACATCATTAGGGCCATTCTTGAGCTTTAAGCTTTTCTGCAAGACATTATCAGCAAGGTGATCAACAACCTAAGCATGTGAAATGGACACAGTGTAAAAGCTGCACATGAGCATTGCCTTGGTGTTTTTGGCTGGGGAAGCTGGTGTGGATTTCTCCTCCCATAAAGTCAAATCCATTTGTGGGATTTTTTTTTGCCCAAAGACCAGGGTGTACTTGGGGGGTAATTCAGAAGGACAGGGAGAATCAGTATGTGCCTCAGGGAGATTTAACACTGGAGGAAAAATAATCTGTGGTGTAAATTGTAGGCTGCAGAAAGCAAAGTAACAGCAACGACATGAACTGATGAAGAATGAATTTTGCAAGGAGCGAGGGAAATGATATGATGACCCAAGGTGGACCAGTGTTGGTGCCAACAATCAGGTATGCTGCTCTCCTGTCCTGACCACCCATTCCAATGCAATGGAGCCCAAGTCATGGATAGGGAGGGGTGGAGGAAGCCCATGGAATGGGAAAGTAGTATGTATCTATGAAAGGATAGGATAGTAGTTAATGAAATGTATGTTTGGTATAGAGATGGGTTAAGAATGTAGTTAAATTGAATCTGTAGGTAAGGAGATCTCGATAATGAGAAATAAATACAATGGAACAGTTAAAAGATACATAAATTATGTGGGACCTGAGTGTGATACAAATGGTATGGAGTGGGGTGGAAGTTTTTATAGGTCTGGCTAAGCTGGAGCTCACTTCCCCACAGCCATCATCACAGTGCTGTACTTTGCACTGGCAGCCGGAAAGGTGTTGGTGTTTTGGGCACTGCTGAGCAGCACTGGCACAGCACCAGCACTGTCTCTCCAACATTCCTTCCCCATCAAGGGGCTGGGGGTGGGCAGGATCCTGGGAGGGGACACAACCAGACCAGATGATCCAAATTAACCAAAGGGGTATTCCCTACCATCAGACATCAGCTGAGATATAAAAGTTAAGGAAAGGAGGAGGAATGAGGGGAATTTGTTACTTTACAATGTTTGCCTCCCACAGCTGAAGCCCTGGTTTCTGGGAAGTGGCTGAGCATCCCTCACTGGTGGGAAGCAGAGAATATACTTGTTTTTCTCTTTGTTTATCCACCTTATGTTCTCTCCCCCATCCCAGTGAGAAGGGGAGTGACAGAGCAGCTTGGCTGGGCACCTGCCATCCAACCAGTCAACCCAATTTGGTCACACTGAATTTTATTGCTTTCAGTAGAAGTATTCTAAACTTCAGTAGAAGTATTCTAAAAGACAACACCAGAGGCTTACCCTGTGTGGTGTATATTAGGCATTGATTTATAGAACAGAACAAAACAAATAAACAAAAAAATTCTGTTTCACAGTCAGGTAAATTAAAAAAAAATCCCCAAATGTTCACAAACAGTAATAAATTATGGAATAGGGACCATCTATGGGCCCTTCCCACTCCAAAAGAAAGATGCATATGCAGAGAGAAATGTAACAAAAAGTTCCATAAACTCTAATTAAGACCTCTGCTAGGGGGATTTGTGTTCTTCATTATTTTATCTTTTTCATAAAATAACAGACCTCTCACACCACATGAACTGTTACCCTTCAGCCTGCACTAACTAACCTTAACTCTCCTACTTTTCTGCTCTTCACTGTCTCCCGTGCCACTTAGTGACATGTGAGACAAGAGGCTACTGATTTGATTCTATTTCAGAAGCTAGATGTTCATTTTCCCAAGACCTGTAGGAATTTAACCCTCTTTGTGCATCTTTTTCTTCATTATCTTTCACTGCAACTTTTCAATTAGCTAAAAAGTGAAAAGGAGGTGAGAATGCGGAACTCATGGGTAACTGGTGAATCTCCCCCACTTTTAAACCAATTTAAGAGAAGTTTTAACTTCAGCTAATTTCTGCAAGGTTTCTGAAACTGTGAAGTCCCACTTTATTTGTGCAACCCCTGCTCTCTCTTCCAACAGAAAATACCCAACACGTCTCATCTGTCTCTTGGGAAAAACTGCATTTCTTACAAATTATCCAGGCAGTGAGTGATGGGCTGTTAAATGCTGTATGTCTCATGTGGATTTCCTTCAGAAAATTAATTATCTGTACCTAAGATGACAAGAAGTATTTCCCTATAGTAGCCCATTTTTCCAGATCAAATTGAAATGTACAGAACACAAAACTGCAACAGTTTTGTCATCATTAGCCAAAACACCTCTGTCACAGAGGAAAAGAATTGGCTTCAAAGAAATTAATAAGCTCCAAAGAAATCAATAGCCTGGCCTCATTATAAATTCAAAAGCAGCTTTTTCAGAAGTTACTAACAGAAAACTATTTATGCAAAATATGACTATCTGCCTATAAATGAGAAAAAAGGAAAAGAGAGGAAGGAGCAAGAAGAGAGGCCTGTTAACATATACACATTTCACATACTACAAGGAAGGATGTGGTTCCAATACACTTACTCAGGTGACAAATACACAATTTGGAATTAGATATTTTTCTAAATTACATCCCACCTCCAAACCCCAGCACTTGCTGCAAGGAACAACATTCATGTTTAATACAGAAAAGAGAAGGGAAAAGGCTTTTTTGAAAAATATAATGAGAGAGAATTAAAGGCAGGACGTAAGAGCTAATTAAGCTTTGAAGCCTGAAAAACAGTAAAGATTTATGTTGTATTAGAAATGCCATTTCAGGACAAGGATGTAAAATTAACTCACAAGTTGGTCAGAAGTGAGTCGAAGTGATTTTTTGTAACTGATTCCAGACAATAACGAGAGATGACTGGAGTTGGCTTGCAATGACCCGAGGTTTTGTTTGGCAGCTCTTGGGTCTTCATCGCTTGAAGAAGATTCATCTTTTATTCTGGAACATCGCACACACAGAAAATGATGTTATCATGCCCGTAAATGCATCTCAGTAGCCATTAAAAATGCATTAACAGTGAGTCACCAAAGAAGTCATTGATTCTCTGCTACCAATACTGTCTCACAGGAGGTCATTCATATCATGGGTTTTAATATATCAATGAAGTACCAAACTTTCATTCACACATTGCCCATTATTCAAACTTGGATTGTTACAGGCAAGTGAATGGCTATAACAGTTTTCATTATTTAAATTTAATGAATATAAATTAATGTATTAGATTAACTCAAAAATCTCATATGATGAAAAAATAGTACCCATTAGATACTACAACTTTAAAACGCCTCTGTTCTCAAAAGAAGAGGCACTTGCTATGCTGGATTTCTCTTTCCCTCTTCTCTCCTCCCCCAAAGAATCTAAAAATTAATTTTAAAAAAATGCAGGTTGTGGAAGTTTTATTAAATAAAATAACTCCTCATGTTCTTTCAATGAGCAGCTTCCAATAACAGGATTATTCATTTCCGGGATTTGCAGGATTACCCTGTTCAGAATACAATGATGAAAAGTCATAAAACCTGAGCTCCCTCACAGTATTCTGTTTAAATGCACATTGGAATAATTACTTATGTTCTCCTACAACCATTTTTAGAAACTTCTTAAGGATATTCTTTCTCAGAAAGAATGTTTTCCTACAGTAAAAAATCCTATCACTGTAGGCGTAAGTTAAAACTCTTTCAGATCCTACAGATCTGATCTTTAAAACAATCAATATTTGGCCTTTCACTGCAATCACACCTGGAGGTTTGTTTGGTAGTCTTGACCCAATATCAAGGTACTGCATGTCATGACTAGCAATGTTTAAAAGCCTATCTTATCCTTTGTGACATGTGATCTCAAAAGCTTTACTCAACATCTCGCTTGTGATATTTTGCTTGCAAACAATAAATTTTTAATGAGAGATTTCTAAGGCCCGGTAAAACTTAAATGAAGTTTAAGAAGAATACCAATTTCAGAATCTAGTCTGCTTGAACTCTTGATCCCACTTTAAACTTTGTTTTTAAACAACTATGTAAGAAACAGACCTATATACCCCTTGTCATCCTTAAAAGGAAAATCAGCCTTTCCAATTAACTCTGGTTCTCAGTCTCAGAGAGGCAACAGAGACAACAGCTAATCTCCTACAGAATGAGGAATCCTCCTTCCAGCACATTTGCCTGGACTCCAACTGCTGACCACCAGAAAGAATGAGAGCTTTTTGTTTCAGAAGGGCAACCCCTGAACCTCACTTAATGAGCATAAAGCAATATTTGAATCTGGTCCATTTCAGCTATAACTGCAGCCAGCATAAACAAGATGTCTTTACAATAAGATGCATATGCACAGAAAAGGGACAAGGTAGGAGAGCTGTCCCTGGCTAACTCATCCCTCTAAAGCAAGCTAAAACTCATGTCATGGACCCCACAAAGGTGAGATTGCAGCTGTACAGTGTGATTGTTAGGGGCACAAGGAAGAGACTTCTGCAGTCCTGGAAAGAAGCAACAGAAAACCATGACTATTGCCTGTGAAAAACACTCTGGGAAGTCCCTTAACTTCCCAAAGTATGCAGGAACCAATTAATTTGTCAGGCCATAAATCTAAATAAATAAAAAAATTTAAGCAACTGGGATCTGACAACAGCTTGGGCTCATCTATGATGTTCCCTTAAAAACTCTAGAGAAATACATGTAGCTTTGGAGAACTGCTCCAATTAGAGTGTGCTTCCAAGGGGCTGGAATTAGAGTCCCAGAGCTGCCAGCCAAACCACAGAAATGCCAGTAGGTGCCTCCTACTTGCACTTCTGTGGTGCAATGAGTAACAAATTTAAAGTATTTCACTGACACAGTATTTCTTTGTTTGAATAGCTGAGGTAACTTGCTTTCATTTTTAAATGATCACTCTTGCTTGTTTCAGGTACAGATGATTTTGGGTGTACCTGTTTGCCCTGCTCATCTGTGAAGATTCTTCTGTAAGTCCACTCTCACTCATGCCTTGCTCTGGCTTTGTTTCCTGTAAAAATAAAAGTATGAGTAGCTGTGCATCTCCTGTGGAGCAGAAAGTAGATGTTTTTAGAAAAATAGTTGAAAATCAAATTCTGCCTTGTACAGACTTGGTAAAAATCAAGCATGTGTTTGTCTCCTTTGTTTGTAGGCAAAATAAAACCCTTAAAGAATAAAGGCAGTACAAAGAACTAAAAACTGCAACTATAAACTCAGAACAATAATTAAGTTTTACAGGGAGGAAGTAGGGAAATATCAGGTTTAACATCTAGTACTGTTGAAGTTCTGGGATCAACTCCATAGCTACACAATTCATACACCTCAAATAGCTAGATTTCACCTGAGAAAGCAAAGTACGACTTGGGAGAAGGAAAAACCCCCCACAAATTACCTTTCAGAGAATCATTTAAATCTTAAATCCAGTAAAACTTGCTAAAGTGCTTTTATCTTGAGTAGATGCTGAACACTACCAAAGTTATTCCACAAGATTTTTAAATAGTGCTTTACATAGTTCCATTTAAAGTCACCACAGCTCAAGAGATAATCAAATACTTCCAGAGAAAATCCTGAAAACTTCAAAAGACTATAAAACTAAAACCTCATGCTCTGAAACCCACACCCACTGATCAGTACAATGGTTATCTCATGCAAGGTTAAAGAACTTCTTGACAGAGGCACAAACATAAAATTGCATTAAAAGTAATTTTCTCCCCTTAAGTACTAATGCTTCAGTAGTATAGATTAATATGAAGAGGTTTTATTAGCCAACAATATTTCACATAAAGCTTTGGAGTTTTTAGTTTTCCAATGTTCATCCATGACTAAGATTATTATCACAAACTTCTAACGCTCTGAAAAGAAACTCAAAAGGATTTTCAAACCAATATATAGTCCATTTGGCATCTTAGGTTTTGCTGAGTTTTACAGCTCCCTCTACTCATAAATATGTCTGCTCTTCGACCATCAAAAGAAAGATGCTGAGAGGTAGGTAATCTGAGTGAAAACTTTAAATTAGTGGCACAACTCTGATTCTAGGTTTCCAAACAGAGATTTAATACATTCGATACTACTGCCTCAGATCTGTGTAATGAAAATAAATCAAAACTCTTCAGGCAAATGTTTCAGGTAGGGTCTGATCCAAAGTTTTCTGAAGTCAAAACACACCAGACCTCAGACCATGTTTAATGTGCACACTCTCAGTCAAAGTGAGTACCAAGTTACCCTCTGAAGTTGTGAGGGATGAGTATGCAGATGCCAGCCCTCCCACTGCAAACAGAAGGAAACTCTGCTTGCTTCTTAAACTTACCTCTTTAATAGTGCTGTTCCTCCCTCGCCATGAAAACCACCATCTTCCACCTTTCTTTGGCATCTTGTCCCTCATTATAGATTCCACAGTTGCCTGTGATAAATGGATGGTAACATAAAAAAGGCCCAAAATAAAGGACAACCTGACATACATAAATGAAAAGTGCCAAACACACAGTTTTAACTGATAATAAATAGAATAAAAGTAAACATACTGTCTGTGGACCATAAATTCTACTAAAGCAAAATCTAATGGTATCCAGAGCTGCTCTGAAGTAACTTAAGCATGAATACTTATGGTATTTTTAAAAGGAAAATGAAAAAGAAATCAAATCAAAGAAGAAAAAAAGCATAAAGAGATGTTAGTATAATGTTTAGAATGGAGAATCTGCTATTTCTAAGTTATTTAGTACAAATTATACATTTAAAAAAAAATCACTTCCTAAAGGAGGCATCATGCAAAACAGTAACAAACTGACATGCAAGAGAGTTATTTACAAAGTTTGTATTCAATCACCAGCTTAGCAAAGAGTAAAGACATTACTAGCTTTTATGAGTTTATGAGTTATGAGTTTATGAATTATCATGCTATGAACTTGACTGAAAATGTTAGAATAGTTTCTTTGATAAACATTTTCTACTTTACATTGGTTCTACATACTAGACACCAGTAGAAAAGTTCTTTCAATCTATAATGACTGGAGCCTTATGCATTGTAACAAGGGGAGCTGAATTCTTTCACTTAGACAGAAGCAACAGATGAATGGGAAAATATTAAGGTAAAAGTGGCCACAGGGTTTCTTACACCCTAGAACAGCTTGGACACTATTTCTGAGATGACAGCTTCCATTGCAAGTAAGGTCACCAAAAGAAAGCTGTGATGTTGATTAATGATTTTTTTAAAAAAAATCTAAAACTCTTAGCAATTAAGAGGGGACTGTGTTCAGATAATGTGTGGCACAATGGATCCCTTTTCTCAGTTTTTCCATAGGTTTTCTTCACTATATTATCTAAAGTATATTAGAAAAAAAGAAATGACAGAAAAATAAAGTTGAGTTTTTCAAACAAAATAAAAAAAACTGAGCAGGTGGAGCTATGGAGAATGGAGTGCCACAATTGAGAACAACAGAAACAATTTAAGGGGATTCTCAAACACGTCAAGAACTTCAAGCAGATATCCTATACACTTTTAGTGGGGGAATTCACATGCTTACAATTAGATGTGCATATGAGTGTATTTTACAGAACATCAGTGAATTTTTTTTGCAAAAACATCAATTTTCAAATACTTCATAAACTGTTTATTATTCAAGTATCTTAGTATTTCAATTCCTTAACCTCATTACTACAGCAAATCAAAACTCTAAGTAACAAGTCATGAAGAAAACCAGTAGGATGACTGGTAACATAAATGAGTCATTTTAGTTTCAGAGGTACAGTAAACCAAGCAAACCTTCCCAAAAATACAGATTGTTCAAACTATAAATATTGGCTTCTCCACTAAATTAAAACTGCACTCTCAAGAAAGTTATCAGCATTCAGAATATAAATTAACCATTAAAAAAACCCAAGCACATTGAATTACACATAGAAGATTTTTCTCAACTGATAACCTATATGAATAATGACATAAGTATAAAGCTGTTGAAAGAATTGCCATCTGCTGTAACATTATGGAAAAATATTTTATAGCACTTCTTTCCATTTATACATCCTAGGCAAAACCCAAGACATCTGGCTCAGGCTTTGAAGTGTTTAATTTAAAATGTAGTTACATTATTTTTATTGCCAATGAAGACCCAAGAGGCACCTATCAAGATCTGAATCACACTGTGTGAGCACCCAACAAATATAGAGTACGATAACTATGTACCTTCTGTGGGCATTTGAGTTCCATGGGATGAAACCCACCTTTGATGATTACCAGAACATTTGCAGTAATGCACAAAACATCTGGCTCTGTGACATCTTTGAAATTCAAGCAATGTTTACCTGATATTTGAGATTTTTAGGCTCAATTTATTTTATACTGGGATGGTACCATGCAGCTGTACATGACTGCATATAGAGGTAACATGGCACTAAGAAAGAAACACTGGCAGAGAGTATTCTGGGCTTTGGAGAAATTTTTAGTCTACAGTGATAGCAATAGAGATAGCATTTGAATTCACACATATCCCAAAGACATGTGAAGTGCTGCAAATGGCAGGAGGAAAGTTTAGGTTCAAAAATTTATTAAATCCATGTCTAACCAGGACACAAAATAGGGGTAGCAGTGATATTAGTTCTTTATATACATTTACAGTATTTCTGTCATGAGCACCTACATGGCACCAGGTCATGTGGCATTGAACTAACTTCTTCAGCACATTTATATAAGCCAACACACAGAGTCATAGAGCTATCTGGCACTACCTACCTCGGTTATGAACAACCAACTGAGAAACAAAAAGCTAGCAAGCTGCAGGCCTTCCTCATCTAGTATTTAAACCTTATTCACTGAGCTTATTTGTATTTATTTAATAATATATGCAGTATAGATATAAAACAGAAAGCAAACACCAAGTTTGCAGCTACAGCAAACACTAACATGGGTCAATGTAATTTATGTTTGAAATTCATATTAATTAAATAAAAGTGAAGTTTTCCTACTTCAAAATAGTTGTAATAACTTTAGCCTAGCAAACAAACACTATTCACAGACCAAACTTAGTCCTTATTTAGGCCATAACATAAGACAGACGAATGGTTATATGTGGGCAGATTTTACTGATGTGCAGATTCTCTTGTACAACCCATTTCCCTCCCTTAATCAGTGGTACTTTTTAAAACTCCTCCTCTTACCAGCCTTCATGTTCAATCTCACCTTTGGCAAAGGTTTCTGGAATGCCTGCATTGCCAGCAGAAGGGGACCAGCTGTCGTCCAGTTGTAGTACCTGGGCATGCAAGGGAGACAATTACAGCATTTTGTAACCCCAAAAGCCCCAATTCACAATCTACCTGGCATTCACCACCTGGCAGGTTAAAGCCATGAAGCACAGATCAAACTCTGACCTGCACTAGTAATAACAGACCCATCTTATTTCACAGAATGCTCACAGGTATTTACCACTTTTATTTTATTTACCATTTTTCAGGGTATGCAAGAGAAGCTAGGCCTTGAGCAGAAAGGGTGTTTGTCACACATTACCCAAGTCATCATAGAATCACAGAATGGTTGGGTTGGAAGGGACCTTAAAGATCATCTAATTCCAACTCACCTGCCTTGGGCAGGGACACCATCCACTAAATCAGGCTGCTCAGGGCCCCATTCAATCTGGGCTTAAGCACTTCCAGGGACATCCACCACTTCCCTGGACAACCTGTTTCAGTAACTCACCATCCTTACAGTAATAAAGAATTTTTCATCTAAAACTGTTCCCCAGTATCGTATCACTTTTACTATATAAAAGGTTGCTCTCCCTCTTTTTTCTAAGTCCCCTTTAAGTACTAAAAAGCTGCAATGAAGTCTCCCCAGAGCCTTCTCTTTTCCAGGCTGAACCCCAACTCTCTCAGCCTGTCCTCACAGGAGAGGCCTCCAGCCCTCTGATCACCTTTAATGTCCCTCCTCTGAACTCGCTCCAACAGGTCCCTGTCTGTCCTGTGCTGGAGACCCCAGGGCTGGATGCAGCACTGCAAGTGAGGTCTCAGGGAGCAGAGGGGCAGAATCCCCTCCCTTGACCTGTCCCTGCTGCTTTGGATGCAGCCCAGGACATGTTTGCCTTTCTGGGCTGCAAACACACTCTTGGCCCATGTCCAGATTTTCATTCACCAGAACCCCCAAGTTAGTCTGTACAGAGCTGCTCTCAATGAGTTATCTCCCTGCCTGTACTCATATCTGGGATTGCTCCAAACCAGCTGCAGCTGGTTTGCATTTTAACTTCTTGAATTTCATGAGTTTCTTGTGGGTCCTTTCCTCAATTTTGTCCAGGTCCCTCTGGATAGTATCACTTCCTTCTGTTGATTCCACTGCACCACTCAGCTTTGTGTCATCTGCAAATGTGCTGAGGGTGCACTCGGTCCCACTGTCTGTGTCACTGACAAAGATATTGAAGAGCATCAGTCCTCAGGACAGAGCCCTCAGGGACATCAGCTTCCATCTGGACAGAGCTGTTGACCACAACACTCTGGCTGCATCCATCCAGCTAGAGTCCTTATTATATTCCTCTTTATCACAGCATAAGCCATACTTCTGCAAGCTTTTTTCACTGTTTTTCCATCAAGGAGCCACATAAAACTTAGGGGCTGTAGTCTGTAGGATGTCAAGCTCCTGTTATTACACACTGAACATGGCTCAACCCTTGTTGCAGACAGTAAGACAATTAGAGTATCCATTATCTAGGGAAGATGAAGTTCACAAGACATTAAGAGAATATGATATTTAAGGTCCTCACTAAGGTCACCTCTCTTCCCAATAAATTCAGCAGGCAGATAAATACTACCGAAAGATTCAGAGAACAGTGTCAGGGAAGCAATGAGTGGCTCACCTCAGACCACAGAGAGCTGAGGTCAGGTATGAGGCTGACCACAATAAAAACTATCACCTGGTACATTAGCCTTGCATGACCCATGGCTGTAACCAAGGGTAGCCAAAGCTCTCTTGGAGCAGCACAAAGCCATGATCTCTCCTCTGTTTGCAAGGTGCAAGGAACTCTCAAGTTAAAGAAACCCCAAAAAGCTGCATCTGGCTTAGATCACAGCACTGTCCCACTGCCAACAATACAAACATACAAAAACATGTCTTAGCCTTGCAGAAATGGAAGCCTCATACTCATTGGGTGAAGTTTGACAAATCTTGAAAAGCAATGCCTCCACAAAGGCATATTAGCAAAATATTTAGTATGTACAAAAAAATTGCTTGGTACTGAGTGACTGGAAGCCGACTGATGTATCCCTGTAAATATTAATAATTCAAACTGGCTCAGGGCGAGCCTTAGCAAGTTCACATTGTATTTCATTTTTACTCTGTCAATTGAATGTGAATACTATTAGCATTTAATAACAGCTTCTTGAAATTCAAATTGTGTCAGTAACAGGTCATCTGAAACTGCTCTTCACTTTCAATTCAAAGGAGGAAAGGTAACTAGAAGAACCTCAATTTACTAGGGAGTTGACTCTTTCTAGATGAATCCAAGCTACAAACATTCAAAACCTGGTTTTCAGCTATAGTTATACTGATGTAATGCAGAGAAGTGACAAAGAAGTGTCTTTGTTACAACAGTAATATGAAATATACTTACTTATTTCCAATCTTAACCACAAGGTTAGGGTCATCAATGATAGCAGGATTGTCCACAAACTGCTGATATGTTACTGCATGTTCTAAGAACTCTTCTGTGGGGGAAAGAAGTTGCATTTGTAAAGCATGCATTTATAGATGCCTCGGATGGGCCAACCTAAACCTCTCAGCACCTCTTACACACATTGGTTACACCTTCATTACAAGGGTACTGAGATTTAACTGCAATATGGAAGTTGTTCAGAGACTCTCAATCTTAGAAGATGAGGGTTTCTTCATTTCTGGGTGTTTTTCCTTTCAAAATACAAGCTAAAGTGAAAGCTCAGGGACTGAACTGCGAGGGAGGAAAATCTCCTTTTAGAAAAATTATGTCATTTACAAGTGATTCAGATGACAGTATGACTCAAATAAATCACAGGATATTTGAAACATTTTAATAAGTAGCTTGTGAGCAGCAGTCTGTGTGGCATCAGGCTCATATGATTTTATGATACCACATTACTGCAGAAAGTGCAAGTGTTAACACATTTATTTCCACATTATGCCACTAGAAGTTTAAGGCACAAAGTATTGTGATTTATCTAAATGTTACACAAGAAACTGGAGGTAGGGTAGGAATCAGGTTGAACTTTTCAACTCCTTATGTCCCCATTTATGGACTACCTTTTTCAAGAGCTGTGAATTTCCTAGCTATATGCTGTACTAAGTGGCAAAAGTATCATTAAGACTACTGTGATACAAAACATCAGGAAGAAAAAATACCAATTAAATACTTCCAAAATTTTTCATATATGAAATTGTTCAAATGTGTTAAAAATCATGAGAGGTTCTAGGAAGTTTATCATTACATGGCCAGTATTTATTTTCTCAAGCCAGTGCTGAGCACAGCCACAGGAGGGCTCTGCAGCCTCAGGCTGGGAAGCTCAAACCCAGCTGCCAGCACACGTCTGCAATTCACACAGTCATCCCGTACCTTTGGTTATCTCTTTGTTCTCAGTAAGACCTCCGCAGAGAGAAATGGCAATGGAGGGCAAATCCCGGATTCCATCCGAGATGCTCTCAGCCCCGCTGTCAACGCCCGAGCTCCCGACAGACTGCGGAGAGTGGCTGGCCGGCCGCGGCCCCATGTCGGCCGTGCTCCTGCTTTGGGCATTATCCCCACTGGAACAAAAAAATCAGCAATTCAGTCTTCATGTGTTCATTCCCAAATTCACTCCATTTAACAAGTAAAGCTTAGGGAATAAAAAAGGAAAAAAAAAGAAAAACCTTTGTTTAAGTTTTACAGCAAAACAAAACAAAGTAATATAGGTCTTGGTCCAATATTAGATTGCTTCTACTTACTTGTCTAAACTAGGCATGTTTATAATTAACTGCAATTAAATCAGCCCACTTATTTATAAGAGCTAAGAAAATAAGACAATAAACTGTATAATCTTAATAGACAAAATAATTATATAATAAGCAGAGTTTATACTAGTAGAACTATTCCCACACAGGAACAAGAACAAGCATGTAAATTTATTATTATATTTATACTAACTATATAAACTGATAGTTAAACACAAACAATGTGTATGTTTGTGTATTTATGTGTCATGTATCTATAAATAAAACACTCCACATGTAAACTACTAGGATTTAAATTTTCAGAAACAATAAATTATTATACCTACTTAAAATCTGATGAGATCAATCTTATGAAGTTCAAGCTCATCAAACTCTGCTTTCCACTTCAGAATTATATGAATGCATTTGAGAAAGAAATTTTCAATCCAACATTTTCCCCATATAACTAATCCTTCTCAGCTTTATTGAAATGCTAATATTACAGCAGCTGAGTTTAAGCAAGCAAAAAAAGAAAAATAAATTACACAAGCTGCTTTAGTTGTTGCTCAATGACTTTCATCAAGTGACTAGAGTATATGTTGAAAGACAACTATAAATGCTGCAAGAGGCTCCAATAAAGATCAGAACAAGTTGGAAGTTGTATGTTCAGGGTGCAGTTTTTTTCATATATAACTCTGTCATTCATCTTCCAAAAATTATTTTCTCACATTCATATTTATAGGTGAATCAACCACAGTAAAGCCACATTAGAGCAATAATTTTCTGCTAATACTGTTAACAGTAAGATATGTTCTTTATGGTAATAAGTCAGGACAGGGGATAAATATATCCCAAGGCCAATTACTCTCCTAGGACATGTGAGTTAACACTCACAAACATCAGTGTCTATTACATAACCATCCACAATCAATATATGATGCTTAATTGACCAAAACAGAAAACCATCTGCAAGCACTTTTCTCAGGCTAAAATGCAGCACCTTCCAAAAGTTTTAATATTCCTCTCGAGAAAATTTTACTTTCCTTCTACCTTCATTTCTGCTTGAACCCTGAAAAAGGCATCTTATCTGGCTGGCAATGAAGAGTTTGATCTAAATATGGAAGATGAAAAGAGCTCTTTAAAAAGTAAAAATATAAGAAAAAGACTTATACTTTTTGGGGAAATAAAGTGCAGCAACTTCTGGATCCATGTCAGTGAGGTCATCTAAATAGACACCATCAGCACCAAGATGCCGGCTCCGTTTGTCTGTAAGGGACAGAAGAAATAAACCTATTAAATCATATTTTCTGAGTAACAATACAGAGCTGTTATTACTGTTCAGCTATTCATTTTAAAACTAAGAAACCAGAAAGTTATAACAGTTTGTGAACTGTATTTGTGCAAAATGATACTGCCAAAAATCTCAAAACAAGTAATTTATATACACTGTTCAAACTATGAATTAACAAAATGGGACAGCAGAGGACTAGTTTTGAGACATGCCAAAGACTCCCTATCCCAGACAAAACCACTGTGAATCAGCAGTCAGCAGAGGAAAACAGCAAAAGGAAAACCTACTAAGTATTTACATAGTCCCATTATCACAGTATGGCAGTCAGAACATTTAATCTTTGATTAACTAATCTTACACCTCTCCTTGAAAAAGGGAAACAACAGACTAAAATATAGTCACTAACATGCTATAACTGGCTCGTTATGGAGACAACTCACTTTTAAGCACATACAGCTGATGTATGTATACATACAACACACCCCTTCCAGGCCTGTCACTAGGACCAACCACTGTCCTCTTGTTGCCAGTAGACCTAGATAAGTAACCACTGTAAGGTCAAAAACTAATTTGGATTCATTCTCAAACCCACAACTTCTCACTGTCTCAATTTCCAACACTAAACATCACAAAAGCAATCAGAAAATCTACACAAGCACTGAATAGTAAGCAGAGAAACACATCATTTTTTGTTTTCAAAGACAGTGGAATGCATGGGGAAGAGGCCAAGAAATTTGTATGTTTACTGATTAAAAAGCAGCTGCACAAACTAGGCTTATACAGAGCTTACATAATTATGGAATAATTATAATCAGTGCTCTAAAACAGAACATTTGTAAGCAAATAAATTTCATGTGAAGACTGTAACACTTGTTCACTTGTTATAAAATACCATGGAAATAGAGCCCAGAAATTAGGATAGATGAAGTTGCATTTCACATATTCAGGACAGGATATGTACTACATAGAACTGAGAAGCATGTAAAACAAAAGCACCTTATTTTATGGCAAATCTGCTCATTGTGCAAAAGACATACTACTACTTTGCACTACAGCAGAGTTTCCACAATTACCAGCCACACATCACTTGGGTGAACCAGCAGATCTACAGTCTGCTAATACACAAAAGTGAAATCCCAGAATCTGTCAAATGGAGCAAGTTTTGTAGTCTTGCTCATATGCACGGAGCTGCCAACAATTTCAGACCTTCAGAATCTTCTAATACATATCTCATGCGAACAGCTTGATGCACAACTCGGGTTTTGAAGGCTTATTCCTTTTCTGATCTGAAAGTGCCTTCAGGCCATGGATTAATTTATATGGCAATAAGATGCTTTATCACCAGGAAATTTGAAGATAAAGTCATGCATATAAAAGTGCAGGATCAACACCTTTACCTTTCTTTCTGGAAGGGGAATCCATCTTGCCAGTCGGTTGGGCTGAGCAAGCTGCAGCTTGTTTTATTTCTTCATTTGCAGGCAATGGGGGTTCAGCTGCTCCTGGCAGATCTGTCTCTGGCTTATTTGTCTCAGCTGGTAAGGGCTCACTTTCACCAGCAATTGCTGCATCTGCTTGTCCAAGGGCAGGCAGAGGAGATACTGTGTTAAACTCCTCAACAGGAGAACTCTGGATGACCCTAAAGTGAGTGCTTTCAGAAGGATTTACATCTGCCATGCTGGGTTCCTTTGCTTTGAGCAGAGAACTGGCCTGTGAGGAAAAATTAACAGATCACTACAAAGAAAAGCCCCTAAAAAACACAACAGCCAGAGTTTAACCTGTTCTGTTTGATCCAATGAGATCAGACTGTCAGGATGACCAACTACAGCAGAAAGCCACCACTGAGATAGAGACTGCAATATGCAAAAGACCTCTCTGCTGTGTTTGTGCAAAATTCATTTGCATTTCGAGGCCAGGAATAATTTGTTCTGCAATGTGCTCTACAGTCTTCATTTTCCATTTACCCACAAATCCCACCTCTCACCCTGCCTTCCTCTCTTTCTGTGAAGATCCTGGCTTTCCCTCAAAAGGCAAACCTGACAAACAAAAGAAGGTGGTGCAGACTGGAGTCCTTACACAATCAAGATGATGTCAGGCACCAGGACACTGTCTAATCCCCAGATTTAGAATTTAAATCACTTTATAGGAACAATTCCAGATCTTCTCTGAGTGTGGGACAGGAAGTGTCCTTACAGAGGGACAGAGAGAAGCTGAACTACAGCCGTAGCATCACAGCTGCTATAACCTTCATGTCATAGCAAACAAACAACGCTTACATGAAGTTCAACAGCAGCCAGTTCAGGTATGGCAAGATCAGAATAGCTTGGGACATAGACAGGGACTGCAGAGAGAAAAGCCTCTGGAAGTAAGATTTGCAATACACACCAGGGTGTGTGACTGCTATATGAAAGATACAGCTAAATTTCCTAGCAGGAAACCCTCCATTCTAGACTGCAACTGCCAATTTGGAACTCCTGCATGGGCCCAGGCACTTATATCAGCTCTCTTTGAGCAGAAAATCCTAAGATTGATCCTGGTGGGCTGTTCAGGTCCAATCCAGCTAGCTATGGACCTTAGCCCTTACAATCCTACACAGGACAAAAGCAGAAGATGAAAGTGCTCTTTTCCTCTTGGGAACAAAGTCCTATTTTATTTCCTAGATAGGAGATACCAGGTGGTCCAGGTGACTTCACAGGTGAAAAGAGGGCAGGGATCTCCTCCCAGGGGATTTTAAGCTCAGGGGAAGGGGGGAGGAGGAAGGGGGCCACAGCCAATGGGATACAAGTGAAGAGGGGGTGAGGGGAGGAATAAATCTGGGACAAACCATTTCCACCAGGGCTTTTTTAGGGGAGGGGAAACACCATGTGATATCAGAGGAGAATCCCATGAGGATTCAAACATACTTATCAGTGCAATAATACATAAGAAAAACATAAGAACCCAGTGCAAAACAACTAAATAAACTACTTAGTGCAATACAACAGAAAATAGCGCCCAAATTTATTGTAATGTACACAGGGAAGAGACCAGTGCAGAGGTGACGAAACAGCTCACCACTGACATATTAAAACAAGAGGCCAGAGCTCCTTCAAAGAAATTAAGAATTCTAGATTCCCACCTCTCCTTTTTTCATTAATTACCAACAGACAATTAATTACAACAAATTACAATAGTGCCATTATAATTCTGGTACCATCACCAGAACATAAAATTCTTTCTGAACAGGATGCCCACTTCCCTGGCCTGCAAAGCAGCAATTTTTCCTCTTAATACTGTATGTAAACCCATCTCTCCTGCAGCTCTTTCTGCAGAGAAGCCAGCCTTCAGCAGGAGGTGCCAAACTCTGCACTATCCCAGCCCCCATAGTTGCAGCACTCCACTGAAACCTGACCTCTACCTCTCATACCCTGGTGCACATGCATACTCTAATGTGAATGCTGTCACTCCTCAGGAGCTGTCACAAGGAGCCAGCCAGCACCTGACCAGCCTGCAGTGTGGGCAGCTGCCCACAGTTTCTGTGCAGCACTGGAAATAAGGCTGCTGGCTACAGATCCCTCACCTAACTGGGACAAATGGCTCCAGGAGGAGACAGGCACCAAGCCAGTCCTATCAGCCAAGAGAACAGCATGTCTGCACATCCACAGATACAGAACTGCAGGTGCCTCTGGATACTTTTGTACTGAAGCAGACCATTTTCATTTCTGTGAATCTGACTGCTAACACCAGGCACCTAATTTCCATTTAAGGTAATTTATGAATTTGATGATTTACCAAAGGACATTGGGTTTGATTTTTTGTGTTTTTTAAGCTACTAACATTTACAAGACTGGGTCTCAGTTACTTCTTCATTTTCTACTGTATATCATCAGTATTGAGAATATCCATGCCATAAGGTACTTTCCTATACCTCCTATGGAGAAGGATTAAATTATTTTACATAAAACACTGCCATTTTAGATAAAACCAGGATCCATTTCCTCTTCATCAGTCTGCAGTAGATTTAGCACACATGCCCTATTAAAGCACAAGAGATGCAAGCAGGAATTAAAGAACTTATGTTGGATACCTTTGCAGCCTGGGGTAGCTCTCCCCATGCCCAGTGCATGTGGGGATTATCCTTCAGTCCACTTCTGTCTGTAGGTTTACTGACTAATTCTGAGTCACTTTGAGGAGTAGGAGGACGTGAGTCTGATGGGCTAAAGAAAAACAAACAAAAAATGTTACAAAAGCAGAAGTAACCACAAAGCACTGAATGCTTTCCAAACTAATGTCCACCAATACAAGGAATTGAAGACTGAAATAATCAAGAACCAACTGATGGTATGAAAGCATAGAAAAATAGTTGAAAAGTTCAGGATCCTCTTACACTGGCATTCAGAGGTCTCATCCCCTTTTCAGTAAGTGCTGTCAGAGAAGTAGTATTTAAGAGGCTGAAAGAGATAAAACAAGAACACTGGACCTGATTTCAGGAGGTTTGTGGTCTTCTGCATGGTAAAAAGAATAGGGATGGTACCAGCAGCAGATGAATAATGTATGCCAAGTGCAGAAATTACTCACGTCAACAAGACACCTTATCCTGACTAAGTAATACTTTAATCTAAGAAATCCAGTTGACTCCTTTCTAACTTGTTCAGCTCAACCATTGACTGGATGGATGTTCATAAGGAAAAAAGCAGGAGAGCTACACAAAGAATTTGAGCCCTTTCAGTTGAAACATATTCAACTCTTTGTTTTGATAATTACTTGATAATAAATATTTATAAATTAATTAGTGAATTATTAGCTTATAGCATATTCTTATGTGGTGAAGTCAAGAATGTGATGTCAAGTCAGTCATTAATAAATAATGAATCACTGATTTCAAGAACAGAAGGAAAAATTCAGATTATCTTCTCTGCCTTTCTGCATATCACAGGTCATAGAATCTCCCCCAGAACCTCCTGAACAAAGCTTGCATTTTTTATCTGAGCCATAACCTGTCTCAGTATACTCATCCAATCCTGATTAAAAAACTAAAAGCAACAAAAGAATCCACAACATTCCTAAATCAAAGGTGCAAACTGAGTTACTTTCATTCTTAAAAACAAAAGGCTTCCATCTCATGAAGTGCCTAACTCCATGAAGTTCAACAAGGCCAAGTGCATGGTGCTATGCCTGAGATAGGCAATCCCAACACAGGCTGGGCAGAGAATGGACTGAGAGCAGCCCTGGGAAGAATTACTTGAGGGTGTTTGCGGACAAAAAGCTGAGAGGGTGGTGAGGAACTGGCACAGGTTGTCCAGAGAAGGTATGAACTTCCCATCCCTGAAGACCAGACTGAATGGGGCTCTGAACAACCTGGCCTAGTGGAAGATATCCCTGCCCATAGCAGGAGGGTTGGAACGAGATAATCTTTAAGATCCCTTCCAACCTAAACCATTCTGTGATTCTACAGTTCTATGAAAGAGCCAAACTCGTGTGGATATTCAGTATATTCAGAAAAAGATAAAGAATAAATCAAACATGAGGAATTTATGTAAAGGTAAAATCACAGAATGGTTTGTAATGTCTTCATTATATCTAGTCCAATCACCTTGCCATGAAACCAGGTTGCTCAAAGCCCCATCCAGCCTGGCCTTGAACACTTCCAGGGATGGGGTATCCACAAATTTTCATGGCAACTTGTTCCAGCGCCTCAGCACCTTCACAGTGAAGAATTTCTTGCTGAAAGTCCAAGCTTTCAGCTCAAAGCCATTGCTCCTTGTCCTGTCCCTACATGCCTGAGTGAAAAAAGGTGTTATGAAGTCTCCCTTTTTCAATGTTCTGTAGAGCCAGCTGGTAGGGAATTCACTGTTCACACCAAAATAATTACTTCACATTCACATCTGAAATAACAGCAACTTAATTATCTACAGTATTCACTGTTTTCAACTATGCAGTAAAATACACTTTGAATATGGACAGACACTAGGACATTTTAGCTAGAGATATTTATGTTACCTAATTAAATTATAAAATTTATAAGCCATCTTTGTAGGGCCTAAGAATTTCGATTTTTTATCTGTCCTCAGGGTATAACCTATAATTTGACAGATGAAGGAATCAATACAGTGTAATTTTAGAAGTATTTTCAAGCTCAAAGGATTAAAAAATTGCCTAGTGGGTTTTTAAGCAACTTCTAAATCTTCCACTGAAAAGTTTGTAGGATTTGCAGTATGTTCCATATTTAGAGGCAATTGAAATCTGGGAAATCAGTAGCCTGAGCACTTCAGAAAATCTCAGTAGGTAATAATGCTCCTACTGCTGCTTTAAGCCTAAAATATCTAGATTTAAGGAAGCCTTGTCACTTCATGTCTTTCTTAACCTGTGCACTACAGACATTTTAACCTCCAAGATACATATTATTTATCTAGAAAAAACTCCAATCTGTCTTTGCTCAGCCCAAGCTCACTTATTCAGACACCTGAGAGAACAGAGCTATTGCTTCAGCTTGGGTAGAACCTCTGCACTTTGCAGTAAGAAAACAGATTTGGGGTGGAAGGAAACATGGTCTTCTCCATAATTTTCCCTGAAAATACAGTTCCCTTATACACACAGCTGAGTGGAAAGAGCCCGAGCTGTTACTCAGCACTGTGATTTCTATTCTCAGAGACACAATGAAAGTACAGAAATGCACTTAGATATTTAAAGCACTCACACATGCGGGTATGTTAAAGCAGCAGAGCTCTGCTCTGTGAAGGTTCTTGCTGCAACTGCTGCCCAATGGTCTGGGCTTGCCTTGGGCTGAACTGTGTCTTGCAATTCTTGTGTCCTTAAGTTATGCACTGACTCAGCCCAGCTGAAATTGCCTTGCCTTGCACAGATTGCTGAGATATTGCAAATCAAACCAGAGCCAACCATCCTGTCAACAGTACACAAGAAGGAAGGGAAACTTCAGGTATTTAGATCAGCATCTCTGATTCACATCCCACAGATGCTGAATATTTGTATCACAGTCCTATATATTCTTTAACAGCTATGATTGCACTTAATCTAATCTAACAAAGAACAAGGAACATGGCCTGTAGTTGGCAGTTCTGCAGTAACAGACTACAGTGATCTTTGCAGTGTTTTGCACTGGAAGCAAAGAGATACCTGAAAAAGCAGCAATATGACTGAGAAAAAGCCCAGTCTTGTGTGACAAAAGGTAACTGTGATAAAAGATGATCAGAAGGAAAGAGGCCTACATCATGCACATGTCACAGCAATGACTGAGAGCCTGTGAAGCACCTCTTAGGTGGCCATAATAGCATTCCTTACTTCACAGAGGGAAAAAAAACTGCTGAAAGACCCACCAAGCATTTCTTATTTCAACAGCTGCAAACACAGAACCTCAATCAGACAAGTTGCTACAGCACTTTAAATGTCTGTCTAGTCTGTAAGATAGTTGAATTCCAGAACAAGTTCATGAAGCCACCTAGAGCACAGCACTGCTCCATCCTAACCTGTGCTCCTGCCCTTCCTTGGCATGAGAGCATGCTAAGGAGAACAGTTTTGAACATCCCAGGATCTCACTTTGACTTGGTGCTGCAACATGGTCAGGTTAAAGAAGGCTGACCTAGAAGCTGGGAAAACCTCAAGATTATCAATTTTGATACAGCTTTAGGCATCTAGTATGGCAACTATGTTGATATAAGCAATGAGTAATGTAGGCTGATGCATTACTCAAAGCTTTCCCAGCATTAATGGAGAATTGCAGAGGTCATATTCTACTACTTTAAATTTTTAACGTTGCTGTGACCTCTCTCCACTGACTTAATGGAGTGAAAGAGCTTGACTGCAGAATCTTGAGACTTCTTGAATTTAAGACAACACACAAAGTCTCTGTATCCACTTTTAGCTCTGTGGAAAAGAGGAATCCTACACTACTGCAAAGGCCTAGAGAGAGTTTTGTTTTGGCACAGGGCTTTTCCCATTACAAGGTTTGCATTTTTTATTGCTCATTTATTCTCTGAGGTTTTTGTTTTGCTTTCAGCAATCTATGCACAAGCAAACAACTCAGGAAAACCATGGGATAAAAATGTCATCAAAATATACACTGATTGTAAAAAGATATATGGAAATGTCAGTCTTCAGAGGAATGAATTCACTAAGTTCTTCCTTTTGGGGGGTTTTATCATCTTAATAAACTTAATTTTTAACCCAGGCTTTCACTGACATAATTTTGTTTCAGCCATTCTCTTTCAATGGATGGTTCATCAAGGTACTACATGGTTCATCATTACTGCTACTCAATGCACACAAAGAAGCAAGCAGAGAAAGTGCTTTCCAATGTCACTTTCAAATGTCTGGGTTAGCAATAAGTACAGCTATAAATACAACAGCAGTTCACATAGTCTTAGTGTGGTAAAAATGCAATAAGGTGTTAAAAGGATTAAAAAGCAGTCCAGAAAAGAGGGAGGACAACTGTTCTACCTGTCTGGAAGAGAAAAGTGAGAAGATTGTTGAGGACAAGAGTTAGATAGGCCTCCGTCTGCTGGAACAGTGAGGAGAGTGGTTTGCCCTTTACAATCTATAGCCTTACTGGGCAGCAGAGCATGTGGGGAGAAAGAAAGACAGGGTGTCATTATATTCACGAGGGCTGATTAACATACACTCTTTGTGTATTAGTTACACAAATGCTGACTTTACATTGAGAGTTTTCAAAACCCAGGATACTGCAATCAAGAAACAAACAGAACACACAGTTCCAAAAGCCATCGAAAGGACAGGGTATTGACAAATGCTATCAGCAGCCTGGTGAAGCCAGTCACATTAAGCTTTACAGGCACTGAACAATGTTTCTTCCAGAATGCAATTCAAAACAGTTCCATTTAGCCATTGCCCTGAAATAATCTCCTCACTCCCTTCCTCTGCCCCTCAACTACAGAGGCAGGATATTGAGGTAAGACTTGTTAGGACAAGGTCTTGTGAATATTGCTGCACTCCAGCAGTCTGCATGGGGGATGTGGAGCACATGTGCATGGGGCACACACACACAGACCTAACTGGAACTATAGTGCAATGCATTGAGAAAAAACTTGTCCCTTTGTGACAGACACAAAAAGGGAGGTCCAAACTGCTCTGTTTTGACATGAAAGGTATTCACATGCACATAAATACACATACAGGAAAAAGTAAGCAAATTACTGTATGTGTTCTTTTCACACAGTAAATATATCAAATCTATGTGAAAAGCAACATGAAAAGCTCATATTCATTTAAAAAAATATATTTAACTCCTATCCTGGGAAATTTTTAAAAGGATTACACTTGAAATACTGAAGACTTATAAACCTACATTCACTAAAGCCCTTACAGGGTGTGTGCATCAGGCAAACATTCAGATGGCATAAAACATAATTCCTCTCTATAGTATTTATATGCAAACAGTGACATTAGCAGATAAAAACATTCTTCAGAATTTATGGACCTGCATTTTTATCTATGCATTTGCTGTATCAAGGACAAAGCCAACCTGATGTTTTGGTAGACTATCTTATTGAAAATATAAAAGTATTCATCTAATAATGGTCACTGACTATGTTTGATATCCAAATCTTTAGTGAAACTTCATATAGTACTCGCATAGAAGACACTAATGGAAAAATTAAAAGAAGGGTACTATCTAGAACTGTACTATCAGAAAAAAGTACCTTTGAAGAGGTGACCATTCTCCATCTGAATGAGCATAAGGTGCAGACTGAGAAAGCACAGAAACTGCAGGAGCCTTTATGTCAGATACATCATCAACAAATACATCTGGAACAGGGATCCTAAATCGGGGGAAAGAAGTGACATTTAAAAAACATTTGCTTACTGAATTTTCATATACCTCAGCTAACAAACCCTATAGCAGAGAAGAATTAACATAATCTGAACTAAAAGGAAATAAAGAAATGCTACCTGATTCAAACCATCTAGTTCACAACACCACAGAGAATTCTTATGTTTTTAATGTCATTTTCATTACTTTAATTACTAACATTCCCAATAGCTTTCTAGCCTAAAGCTTTATTTTTCAAGTAACACCTTCATCAGCCATATGTTCTGACTTAGAAATTACTGCAAGAAGGCATGGACTGGAACATTAACCCAGGTTTTCATTACATATCTCAATTCCACGACGATACCTTGAATTGTCCAATGGCTCTTTTTCTTCCTCTGAGCTAATCTCTATGGGAAACATGTCTTCATCTTCTGACGTGTCTCCATGTGTGTCTTCTCTTTTTAAGCTGTCTATTTTATGAGTTGACTTCCTCCTCTTCTTCCTCCTTTTTTTCACAGAGCTAGAGACTGGAGATGTTTCAGTCGAAGGCTGGGATCCATGGGCTTGGGGTGGGACTTGTGAGGATGCATTGGTGTCCAGGTTTCGTATCCTGTCTATGGAATTCCTCTTCAGCTGGGATTCCATTAAGGCAGTTCCCTCAGACAGAATGGGAGATGTGGAGAGATGATAAGGAATCACCTCCTGAAAAAGAAAAAATTCAAATCATAAAACATGTTAGCTCTTTCACCAGTCATACAACCAGCAACCTACGCAAATTACCAAAATTTTAGTTAGTTACTCCTCAGAAAGATAACAAGGATTTGACATTGGATGCTCATTACTCTCCTATGGCATATGGAAATTTTTCCATAGCTGCATCTCCTTAGACAAACCAGGGACAATATTCTTAATACAGCATCATCTGGGCATCTAATATGGCCAGGTTACAGCATACATTTCTGTCCATCTCATGTAAGACACAGAGCAAAAACAAAATCTTAGTTTAGAACCTGAACGTTCTGTAAAATAAAATTCCCCTTCACAACACAGATGACAGACAGTAGTGAGATAGGTCAATGGTTTATAATTAGGTCACACAAACACCCTACTATTCAACGATATATACATCTCTAGACATTCATGGAAATATTTCCAGCAGTTTTCAGTCACCAAATAACTGTTACCACATAAAAATTAAAAAAAAAAAGGTATAGAGATGCACATTCACAAACTCTCACCTGAAACTGGTAATATCATACTAAGCACAGAAATTTGAACACTCATCCTACTCCAGATAGTGAAAAAAATTATTGGGGATGTATGAAGAGAAATGCCTGCAAAGGTTTTTTTATATTACATTACATGTGAACTACTCAAAGTTACCGTGACCATAATTTATTTGGACCAGTATTTAACCACAGTTCAACAGCAGACATCCTCATTTAAATACAGCCCCACATGAATAATAGTTGTGAGATCATGTTTATGAGGAGCACCAGAATTAATGTGGGCACAGATGTTTACAGAGCATGTGCACTTTTACTGGCAGTCTGGTGCATATGTTCAAATTAAAGATTTCTGCAATAAACAGGTCCCTGAACATTAATCTCTTGCACACAACTTTGAAGCACATGAACTCTGTAGTTGCATTTTTCTGTTCACACACTGGCATATTTCACTTATATGATTATCTTCAGCTTTTTCAAATCTCAGCAATTAAAAAAAACCCCTAAAGTAACACCATAGAATTAAATTTCCATAGCAGAAAATTGTCCAGAAACTTTCAAAACTATAAAATGGATTGAAGCATATTTTCCAACAAGATTCCTAAACTCAAAAGTGACTCTGAAGAGCCAGCATCAGATTTTTAATAAATTAAAAGTCATTTTGACTCTTACCTGATCATTATCTGTTTCCTGCACAAAAAAGGCCTCCCCATTGTCTCCCAGTTTCATGTGCAAATCTACAGCCTCTCCGTTAATTTCTATGTCAACCTGGAAGGAAATAAATATATTCCTATATGAAAGAAAGATAGTCCTGCTGCTGGCACTGGGCAAATGCTTCTCAGAGACGTGTAGGAAACATTACAATAAACAGAAAATATTGACCTACTCTTTTTCTTTCATTACCCATTCACAAAGCAATCAATTACAAAAATGTTATTCTAACTTGCTCAGCTCATTGATATCTTGCTCCTCTACTCAGAAAGGTTTATAGTCTACATAAAGTTCTGAATCTTTTGAAATGCAATTCTGAATGCTTCACTTGCCACACAAATCTATTTGCCCCTTTAATTCATAGCCTATTTTTTAATTGTGCTAGAAGTATTTCCAAATGCAAATTATTATGTTAATATGTTGTCTTAATATGCTGTCTTTCAAATTCATTAAAGAGACTTCTCTTTACACGATGAGAAGCACAAATGAGAGAAATAATTCTACATTCAATTCCTGAATGTAAAATTCCTTCCACACATTTATCATATCACTGTACAGCCCTAACTATCTCCATTTCTTCTCATGAAGATCTCTCTCTTTGATTATAACCATGCTTGCCACTAACTCCATTTTCACTGTAAATTTTTTGGAGACTTGCACAAGTCTACAAGTCTATTTCAGGACACAGTACATCACTGGCACAGTAATATGTTTCAACGTTTACTGATTCTAAATATTGGAATTTCTTTCTGATCTAAGTAAGAATTGAACAATGTCCATGCTGACTTTAGGATCTTTCTGCTGAAAATTCTAGCTACATTAGAACCTGGACTCTATTGAGTGAAAAATTACTTTCTAAAATAATCTGTCACACTGGTAACTTCACATCTGATACACTACCAGGTCACTCAGCCTAGTTACATTTATTTCAAGATCCTCACTGTTTTTTTATGGCTTCAATTAACCTCAAGGTTCTATTATCTGAAAATACTACTTCACTAATATCTCCCTTTTCAGAACTATCATTGAACATGTCATTGAACAAAGAAAGGGGTTTTAGTGAGTCACTAAAGAAATCTAGTATAGTTTCAAATTAGTACATTTGAAATTTTGCTTTATTAAACACAAATATTACAAATTTCATGGCTAGTTCTAGTTTTTATTATAGTCAATGTCTTACAAACTATGGTCTGAACTGCAAGAATCAGTAACAACCATTTTAACTGAAGCTTGTCTTAATTCAGACTCTTTATAAAGGTTGTCTAAAGAAAACCTCAACTAGGAGACCAAAGAACTTCAGTAACTTCCATGCTATTACAGTTAACTCACAGACAGGATATATAAAAATTGTCACATTTTCTTACCACTTTCTCCCTGGAACGTAGAACTCCCATTTTCCCGAAGCGAACGTGGAAAGGGGAACACTGCAGATTTCCATCTGGCTGACGTACAACAATTATATCTATACATCCTGACAGTGTGGCTGGGTTTAGACCCTTATAGAGCTCCTTCACAGTCACAAACACTTGTCCTGCTAACTGTCCAACGTAATTCATGGTTTGGACCTGAAAGGCAAAAGGTGGAACAAATTGGATTTTAATCTCTGCTTTGTATTTTGGAGACATTTAAGAGATAGAGAATCCCACAGTGGGGTATTCTCCTGTTTCACAAATTAAAAATTTTGCACAGAATCAGAATTTCCCACCTAATTTATTCACAGCACGTTTGTAGAGAGCTATTGAAACACAAAAGGGACCTCTTAAGTCAGAAAATTGTAACAACTTTCAAAAGTTCATTAAAATCAGTTCAATTCAAAACCACTGTCAAACTTTGAGACTCTGAAGCTCAAATGACTCCAATTATTTCTGAGGAGAAAACCATTACTTCCAGAATAACATCTCCTCCTAACATTTATTGTGCCCTCAACACCAGAAAGACTTTTTTTGTGTATTTCCACAGGCTTTTAAGGCAGGGCAAGTGAATAGCTTTGAGCATATCTAATTTTGTACCACACTAAAGGCAAAGTCTATTTTCTCATCTTACAGCAATTTCTCCCATTAAAAGGTTATTATAATGCTTTCAGACATTAGTTATGCATTAAGGTTGAACTGTTTCCTAATTCACCTTTACTGTTCTTGTTTCAAACAGCCTTTTCAAACAGTATCTGCAGTTTTATTAAAAATTACACTTATGTTGATGGTTGAAGTGCTTTGCTTTATTTCCCCTGCTCCTACATTTATTTAGCATTTAGTCTGCTGCTTCCACATTATTAATACATGTCCTGTTCAATATATTTAGTCCCCCAGAAATGACTAAGATGCATATTTAGACATGTTTAAAAGATAAGAAAGTCTTTCAATGGCTCTCAAAATATGGGTGAATTTAAGCAGATGCCTTCCTGAACAGCATAGGTTTTAAACACTTCCAGTGTCTATTGTTTTCACTATTTTTCCAGCCCCTCTTGCAGATTCCAAGACACTAGTTTCATCAAAGTCCTTGTGCACACAGGAGAGAGCATAAGACTCACACACAAGTTCTTTGCTAGGCTGTACTACAGCACCTGGACATCAACAAAAATAACAGTTGCAGGGCAGGCAATGCCCAAACTCCCTCCTATTGATGGTGATGAGAACAGAACTGAGCTCAGAGCCTGAGACAGTCACTGCACAGCAGCAGCATCTGCTACAATAGAGACTCTTTCAGCTGTGTCCCTTCATAAACAACAAAAAAGATGTATGAGATGCTGTAAAATGGCTCCAAATGTAACTGTGATTTACAGTGATAAACAAGACCATTTACAGAATACCATGAAAGCACTAGAGTTAAAAAAAAATCAGAAATTTAGGAAATGCTACAATTAAGGCAGTTTTCTTCCATGCATTGCTGTTCTAATTAACTAATGTTCACCTCTGGTTTTTTTCAAAAAAAAAAAAACACACTCTACTTTGTGTGTACTGAGGCTTTGCTTTCTTCTATGCTTCTGTTGCAATACACAGGTCAGGACACAAACTGTGCTCTGAAGGAAGAACTATATTTATGGTTGTCATCACTACATTGTCCCTGAAAAGCAATCATGGTTTCCCCATCTGACAACTGGGGAATGAAACCACAAAAAGATTCAGACTAAAACTAGGCACTAACTTTAAAAAAATCTGTTTTTTTAAATTCTTTTTTTTTCTGATTTTCTAAGTATTCAGTGTACAAGATGCTGTCATGGTTTAACCCCAGGCAGCAACAAAGCACTGCACAGCCACTCGCTCACAATTCCCCATCCTGAGCAGGATGGGTGAGGGAACCAGAATAAGTGAAGGTGATAAAATTCATGGGCTGAAATAAAGACAGTTTAATGGGACAGAAAGGGGAGAAAGTAATAGAAATTGTAATAATAAATTATAATAAAAAGAATAAAGGAATTTCAACATTTAGAACAAGTGATGTCCAATGCAATTGCTCACTGCCCACTGATCAGCTCCCAGCCATTCCACAAGCAGCAGCCCATGACCAGTTTCCTCCTCCAGTTTATATTCTGAGTATGATGGTCTACAGTATGGAATATCACTTTGGCCAGCTGGGATCACCTGCCCTGGCTGTGTCCCCTCACAATTTCTCAGGCTGGCTCCTCCAGCCCTGTCACTGGCAGGCACAAGCCACCAAAAATCCTTGAAATAGTGTAAGCACTGCTCAGCAACACCTAAACCAGCAGTGTGTAACCAACATTATTCTCATTCTAAATCCCAAACATAGCACTATACCAGCTACTAGAAATAAACCTCTATCTCAGCCAAAACCAGGACAGATGTTTACTAATGGAAGAATAATCCCTAAACAGTGTTTGGAGAAGTGAGGGCTGTTTCTGCACAGCCCTCAATTCAGGCATCCAGAAAGTGCCACCTACTGAAAAACCAATACACAAAAACTTCATGGCAATTATATTCCTTTCTCCAGCATTGAACTGGTATCAGCACTTCTGGGCTCCTGTTATACACTAGAAACATCACCTTCCTGAATACAAATCTAGTGGCAAGCTGTTTCACAGGGAACAGCACTTGAAACTCATGCCACACCCTAAGCTGTGTCACAGAACAACAGGCTGGAACAGACCTCTAAAGGTCACCTGGTCCAAACATCTGCCTGCAGAGTCCTCAGTGTCTTCAGGATGGAGATTTCTCAACCTTTCTGCTCTCCTGATCCTATGTATCCCTTTTCTTCATCATACCTAACCTGCATTTCCCTTGTAGCAGCTTGTGCCACTGTCTCTTGTCCTACCACTGTGCACTTCTAATATCCCAGCTATTTCCTCTATACCCCCCAAAAAGTAACTGAGTGTTCTGAAAAATAAATAAAACTAGTTTTCTTGGCTTCTGCTTCTAAGTCATAAGGTCTTAGCCCCCTAACTCTCTTGGGGGCCACCATGTAAACTCTTAAAAAAGTTGGTATGACACAGGCACAAATCTAAGTTCAGCCTCCAGGGTGACAGACATAAGCAAACTTTTAAAATTACCCCTTTGCTGTGGAAAAATACTTCCGTTTTTACTGGTGATTTTTCCAACCTAAAGCACAAAAACAAACACATTTCTTATGGAGCTAAATTAAATGCAAATACAGCTACAGTTGAGGTCAAAATTACACAGTATAGCTCACCCCAGTTAATGCTTGGTCTGCTGAAGTAACAAAACTTCTAGGTGCAAAACAGCCATGACTCCCTTGGCGGAGAAGGAGCTGCTGGGACAGTCTATAAACCCCCACTGTTTGGGAGAGTTCTGGGCAGACAATCCAAACATGAGGACTCACACATCCTCTTTACAAGTTACACCAGCTGGGCTCCTAAAATCCTAAACAGAGAATTTTGCAACTATTCTTGCTCACAGCAAGTCTTAGCTACTCTGCCTGCCCTGTCGTTGGACACAAAGATTATTTTCATACCCACAAATTAGAATAGTTGGACACCATCCACAAGCTCTGAGGCCAAATAGCTCAGCGCAACTTGCTTCCATACAGTGGAAATCTCTTATCCCCTACACTTCAAAAAAGTGTCACATTCCACCTGTGAGCTGGTAGTGGACATTCCTCTCAAGCTGGGCTGGACCTGGCATGTGCAACAAAGTCATTGTGGAATTCAAAGGCAGACTGGGAGACTGATCACACAAACCCCAGTTCCCCAAGAAACCTACAAAAATGGGTTTATTTTTCATATGTAGGGAAGAGGAAATAAAAGATGCGGTAGTTAAAATGGGGAAGAGTTCAGAAATTAGACTCTGATGGCTGTAGGCCCTCTATCCTACCTTTTATACATGCCAACCAAAGCTGAGATTGCTTGGAGTCTGAGGTTTGTGAGTTTGTACTCTGAATATAAAGTTGATCCGTGCCATGTCAGCACTCCAGGAAACCAACACTCCTCAAACCCCAGAGGGAGTGGATGTGGTTTTGGAGCAATACTTCACTCTGGCCATTCCAAGAAGTCTTTCACTTACTGACCAGGCAGCAGCAACTTCAGCAGTAAACAGGAGTTTACATCATGGGTTACACCCCCAGTGCCTGCCTGTTCATTATACTCAGTGCTAGTGGACACGGCACAGAATATTTTTTCCTGTTGGGAAAATTCAGAATCCTTTGATCTAAGCTTGCAAGTGAGAACAGTCTGTACTGCTTCTGTCAGGATTCTCGAATGGTTTGAGTTTTGTTCTTTGCCAGAAGACGTTTCACAGCTCTACATTTTGCATCTATTATAAAATTAAAGGTATTTTCTAGTATAATTTTAAATGTAAATCTAACTAGCATCACCTCCCAGAAAGCCTAGAAAATTTCCAACCCTTTTGATTGTTAAAGACAAGCAGCCATTTTTCAGAATTTATCATCACGTGGAAAAATAAGTAAAAAATAAATAGCTGGTGATCTCCCTTATTATTAACTGATTTATTCACTTAGCAAAGATTGACTTAACAAAATAAATAATTCTTTAAAGTCCCACTCTGATGGATGCCACAGTAAGATCAAACACACTGTCATCTAGATAATCCACTTCTTTCATACAGGTACACCAGACTATGTCCTAATTCCACTGGAAAAACCAGTAATTGTACTCCTTGTGGCATGGATTTGGTTGCTTGTTTTTCTGGGCATTTTTTCATAGCTCAGCTCCTCCCCTTACAATTTCATCTTTCTTTACTGCAATTTTCAAAATAAAACACTGAAAATCATAGGAACTAAATGCCTTTTTTCCTTTTGCAATACCTGGTGTCTCATCAGGTGCCACAACATTAATGAATAATAGATTAGATATCCACGCATATCCAAATTATGAAGGGATGCAAGTGCTACTCAACATGCTCTAAAAACAGACAATGGATTGAGGTGGCATGCTGCAAGGGTAATTAAAAAGTAAACCACACTTCCTCCAGAAGATAGGAAATTTCCAATGCAGAACATTTTGAAAACAGGACAAACATTTGCTGGGACTGGTTTAAGAACAAGCAACTGCAACCCTTGGGAAAGACATTGTTGCTCTGCCTGTGCCCAAGGCAGCAAATCAACCCATATCCCATCACAGACCTGACCATTACAATCTGGACATCTCTACTGAATCTATTTAAACTTCAAAATCTGCTTCTGGTAAATTTCAAAATCTGCTTCTTTTAGACACAGGCCAATAAGCACTCTCCTAGCAATTCCAAGGCACAGCTAAGGAGCTAAGATGTACTGGGCATTACACCCATGGCCAGTTGAGAAGCAGTCACCTTCTTTTAAAGCTTTACAGAGCTTTGGAGAATACATGGTGCTAGCTGATGGTCACCAAGAATGAGCTTTGGCAACATTTAGGTCTCCTTCAGCCCCTTTTCTAAGGCTCTATGGTTATGATTGTGGACTGGCTTTGTAGGCCAGGAGAGGAAGATTTGCAGCAATGGTAAACATAGCACAAACAAAAAACCCACAAAAAATACAGACACATAGTTCAGTTACACTTTTAATACCTGATATGATGATGAGACCATGGTCCATGGCTGAAGTGATGGGCATAAGCACAAAACAAATCAACTTTCCTCCTAAGAACTTCCATACATGTTGTGAAATGGTGAAGGAAGATAAAAATCAATGGGCCAGTGTTGAGTTAAAATTCATCACTGCACCTCTGCTGCTGACACTGAAACTATGACAATTTTACAAACCTGGTCCATCTGGTCCCCTGACCTGCCCTTGGTTTCTGTTTTGAAGATATAAAGCTTGAGAGACTGTACTATATTTGGGAATCAGACTGTGGTCCCTTCAATAAAATTATTCATTTACAAAAAATAGTAAGTAAATTATAATACTTCAAAGTCAGTGCTTATGAACATTCTTTTACTGCATATCAAGTATTTCTATTCTTGACTCTGAAACAATTCAGTTTTGTCTGCAGTACTGAACACTTAATCTACTGCAACTAATGGAATTTTACTATTGACATATTCTTTACCATGAAAAACAGTTTCAGAGGTTATGTTCTAAAAAAGATTCATGATAAAAATGTAGGGAAGATAAGAAAATATTTCAGATGAAGATTCTCTAGATGAATATTTTCAAAATTAAGCTTAGCCCTTCATGTCTGTGCAACAACCATAGTAATGTTGACTTCTTAACTATAAAAGCTGTTAATAACTATCATTCTATTTTTTTAAAAATATGTACTTTTGTTTATTAGTAAGCTGTCAACACACAGTAAAGTCACTAATGCTGATTGATCATCCACAATCAAATCCCTTAGTATTTTAAGCCATTTCAGGTAGGAAACTGAAAATCATTAAGAACTCTCAAAAGCCTTTTTCTTAACTATTTGTGAGTTCCTTTATCAATCCAACCTAAAGTCACTGCCACGAATTCCCACCCTACCTTTCTGAGTGAGTGCCCAGGCAGAACCCCAAAGATGTACATTTTCCAGAGTAAAATAAGAGCCTGGGTTTACTTTCTCTAGAGGAGCCATGAAGACATTGCATAGGACTTCGGGAGACTTCAGTTTAGAGCTTCACTTTCCTAAGATCCCCTCGTAACTTGGGCAAGTTACTGAGGCTTTTATCTCAGAGGGTGCAGCTCCCATTGGTTGCAAGCAGGTCAACCACTATTGCTATATCCCAACTGCAGCAGGCCAAGCTCACCCAAGTGAGACACAGACAAACACTCTCCTTGCATATTCTTTCCTCCTGGGAAAGAAAACCTGGACACATGACCTGAAAGGGAGCCATAAGCAGTCATGACCCCAGTTTGGACAAGCTGCTGAGGGAGAACTCCAGAGCACTCTGCCGAGCAGCGTGACTTTGGTTGTTCTGTAAATAGGAGGGCAAACTCTGTCCAAGTCCAATTATACTCACATCTGTTCCAAACTTCCCCATAGTCCCAGCTGCATGGGGCAGACCACATTCCTGCAGGTGATCTGACAGTACATCTGGTCAGTTGGGAGACAGGTGCAGCTCACTTGTATGTCCCACTTCAGAAAGCAAAATTTAGAATGTGGCTGGCTCTACACCAGAGTAAAGAGCATTATGCTTCCTGCCAGTCAAATCTCAGAATATTTCAGGGTTGGGATTATTCTGGGCTTAATTCTATTAGGAACTATTTGACTTCTATTCCAAGTTACCAAAGGCCAGTGCCAAAAATTGTGACTTCTTACAGCAGCCAGAGAGTCAAATGGATCAAATGTCAAACTTATCTTCCAAGCTGCCTGTCCCTCCAACCACCCACTCACAGACATGGACTTTGAATATGACATGACTATTCCTCAGGTTCTGGTATTGCACTGTATTTCAAATAGTTAAAACTTTGCTTGGTCCAATTCTTCATTAAGTCCCTGTAAAGGACAGAGTATTTTCTTGAGCGCAGCTAAAATCAAAAATTCAAACTGAAGACTCAAAACTTGTCTGCAATGAATCCCCACGTTCAAACAAACGAACTGGCCCAAAACCCCACAGTCAGGGTATCAAACTGGTACCCAAGAGTCCAGGAAAAATTCTTTCAAGGCCAGCTGAAGGGTACAACCAGAGTCCCCACACCAACCTCCCCACTCTCCTAAATCTTGCCCTTCTGTCAGCACTGAAAAGTAACACCACTAAAGCCAGAAAAAATAATTTCTAGCTAGACCAATGGGATGATCTGACTCACCACACACCCATAGGATTGCTCCTACCAAACAAAGAGAGAAACTAAGAGTCAGTAGTGCACAGTACAAGGGACGCCTCTTGAAATTCCAGGTAGTCCTGAAATCGTATCTCAAGACTTGTCTACTTCTTTCCCAGAGACTTCTTGGGATACCTTCCACATTTCCCTTGGTCTCACTTACCAAGGTACCTTAACTTCCCAACTGTACAGTGCTTCCCTGCTCATGGAGACACTTTGAGAGAATGTACAGAAGGACTGGACCCCTTTGGACTGACCCTGCATAAAGGAGTTCAAACTTTACAACAAATTTAAAAGTACAAACTGATGCTTGAAACCAAGAACTTTTGAAGTAGCTGAGAAAATATGGTAAGTCATGTATTGTGCTGTCCTGTGCTACTGTTTCTGATGTCAGTGAGGGAACATAAATCAGAGTGGAAAAACAGCAGTAGTTCTACTCTATACAGACACTTCACATGACTTGGCATGCTTTCTCTCAACAGGACTGGAAAACAAATTTGTTCATTAGATTCTATATCTAATCTATATTTTCTGCATTTTTAGAGTTTAAAGTAAGCTTTTACTGTATTTCAACTGGTTTTGATGACTGCTATGTGTATATATATGCTCACAGATAAACAAATCTGTGCATCTGCACATGCTCAGGTATGGAAAAGGGTCAAAGACTAAAACTTGCCGAACTTCCTTACAAATAGGCCCCACTGCATCAGGTAAGCAGGTATTATCAGGTAGGTTACTGACCTGGAGCTATAAGAAAAGCAGAAATCATCTAAAACCATTAGAAGCTATTTCCATGACTTTCCATGCCTAAAATCATAACATATTTATATTGAGCATTTTCCTTCTGATTGCCTTCACTGTCTCCCCACTTTTTTCCCAGTTCTCTTCATGGAAGCAAGTTCATTTTACTGCAATAGGAGTTCTCCTATCTAACTTCTAACAGTGCACTGATGGCAACAAAACCTTATGTACGTACACTAAGCATTTACCAGTGTTTGCTTCCTGAGACAGCAGAGGCAGAGACAAAGATGAAGCTACACAGAAAATAAACCATTTCTAAACACCCTCCAGACTAGGAGCCAAATAAGATGTCAAAAGATGTATCAAGGCTTACGACTTTATGTGTGAAAAGACAAATGATCTGCTAGATGGTCTGCAATATCAAGACTGGGATACTACCTCTACACAATTCTATTTGACAGGGGTAACAATATTGCAGTATTTTGTCTCCTGCCCGCAAGACACACTTGCTTTCAGCCTTGCTTCTTGAAGGTAGAGGAGTAGATATTGTAATCAACAGAAAAATAAAAACTGTTGGGGGGGGGGGTAACATCAAAAAAATACAAAATATCTGAAACTTTAGTTTCCCATGTAGCCATTGCATTGCTGCTAGCCGGGCTCTGCTATGACATTAAATCCCTCTGTCCTCTTACTGCTGTCGTTATTCAGGCTTAGGGAAAGTATTAGTGAAGCAGGGGCACAATGCAGCGATTTGCATCAGCAGCTGCCAGGCAAAGAGAAGCAAAATTCCTAGAGCCAAAGGGGAAGCAGCAGCAGCAGCACATAGAAGGGCACTGGCCAGCTCACACAGCTCGGCGGGGGACGAGACGCAGGGTACCTCCCTCTGAAGGGACACCTGGAAAGCATCGCATCTTCCCTCTAACCCCGTGCACAAAGCAGTGTCCAGCCACGATGCGCCCAGCAACCCGGGGCAGCTGTCACTGCCCAGAGCCAGGCGGCTCCGCAAGGAAAGGCGGGCAGGGGCTGCGGGCAGGGGATGCGGGCAGCCGCCCGGAGCCCCGCCAGGATGCCCAGGCCGGACGGACCCGCAGCCTTCAGCGGCTCCCGGCCTTGCTTGCCCTGCCCGCGGGCAGCCGGAGGAGGAAGGGCCTCCCTCCTCCCGCAGAGGCCGCCAGAGCCCCGGCACCCACCTCTGCCTCGGGCCGGCTCCCGCAGCTCCGCTCGCCGCCGCCTCTGTGCGCGCCGCGACCGCGGGACGCTGCGGGGCCGCTGGGGTCGCCCGGTGGTGCCGCCCCGGAGGAGGGGCCGGGAGGAGGCAGCGCGGGGCCCGGGGAAGGCGCGGCGGAGCGGGGGCACAGCGCGGCCCGGCCAGCCCCGCCCGCCCGCCGGGGCCGGAGCTGCCGCAGCCGCCGCGGGCCGGGGCGGGGCCGTGGCGCGCTCGTGTGGGGTGATCCCGCGGCCGAGGTGCCGTGGTGTGGGGTGATCCCGGCGAGTCAGGTTCCTAGCTGGGAAAAACGGAGAGCGGGAAAGGGAATCGCTCGGGCCAGGCTGAGCAAAGGCACGGCCGCGATAGGCGTCGCTTGGGCTGCCAGAGCCTGGCATTCATCGCCATCGGGAACACGTCTGTCAGGGTCAGACGCTTTATCGCTTTAAATAAATGCGAGGAATTAAAGCTTTTCCACCTGATAGTGATTTCCTTGTATGTAAACCGTATTGTAACCTCTCTTTGCACTGACCGCCTTACACAGCTAAAAAGGGAAGTGGATGTCATGTTAAAAACAAACTGATGAAGGAATCTTCAGGCCTTTTTGAAATCTTGTTTACAGAACTCAGGAGAGGGTGGTGCCATGCCTATTACAAATAAACAGGAAACGGAGTAACACGGAGGAATAAAAGATGACAAAGATTACACACACCACAAAAAAAAAAAAAAAAAAGACATCAAAAGGTCATTATTGAAGCACTCTGCTAGTTTTAGGCCTGAAAAAAGTTTTTGAGAGGTGGATTTCCAGCATCTCCATGTTGTAGTCCTCAAAATGTACATGCAGCTGAAGTTTGGGAAGAATAATTAGTAATTAGAGTAATTAAGCCTTCCATTTCTGTTAAATTTGTGTTTACACTCCAATCTTAGTGGAATCTTCTCTAGGTTATCACCAGATCGTAATCCTTCAAATAGTTTTTCTGTGACACATCTTCCTTCTGTAGCTCTCCTAGCTCTCTCTCCATGTTGGCCAGTCTTTCTACAGCTAAGATAGAGCTACGAGTTACAGGACCCGGTGCAAACTCACAGACTCCAATCCCAACCTCTTGTTCTCTCCTCCATTCCTGGTTGCACGGCTTCACTAATGAGTACACTTCAGTTTAGACCAGAAAAGTCAGTGAAGACAGTTCCTGCCCAGGCATGACAAGGAAAGGTGTACACACTCCCAAAGAGAAAGTAATACACAACTGCAGTTTCATTTCCCAGGCATTTCGTATCTAATCTCCTGCCAGTGGGCAGTCAGTAGGCAATGAGAAATGTTGGCAAATAATCCCATGCCTGTTAATACAAGAAGCTTTATCTGTGTTGACTGTGGATCCTACTAGTGCTCTGCCCACCACATTTGTGCAGAATACAATCCCATATTGTGTTCCCTCTGAGGGAGTGGAAATCTCCAGCCATCACCATCCATGTTAGGTGGGAGGACTCCTCTAACGTATTGGTCCACTATGGTCTTCTACTACTCTGCTAAAGTCAAAATATGATCATAACATACTGAATCAAAAACACTGTCTTTCCACAGTCTCAACAACACCCACCCTTCCATGCTTCTTTCAGAAATCCAGAAGCTAGGTTCTCATTTTTGGAAGTACTGTATTGTGTTTAGCTACTTATGTCCAACCATCTGCTGCTTGATGTAAAATAGCCCACAGAATAATGCTCTATGTTTAAAATGATTCCATGTGCAAGGTCATGTTTTCTCTTCCGACAGAGCAGAGTAAATACAGCCACAATACACACAAGATGTGGGAAGTGCCAAATGCTTGCACAGCAACAGTGAGCTTCCTTTAACAACAGGGCACCATCCTTCTGTGCTTTTTCACTCTATTCTTATTCATGGTGTGACCAGTGTACAGAGTGGTATTCCTCAGATTACTTCCCTGGAACAACCTCTGCCAACTCATTCTGAAATCCTCACTTCAGCTCATAACTGTTCTCAATTAGTCCTATCTAGAGGACCAAGCACTGGGACATAACCAGTAGTTTGATATTGTCCAGGCCTTAGCATGGTCATGGCTCTGGATTTGACTCAGTTCAGAGTTTGGAGGATAGTATGGTCAGGGATGGTTCCTAAAAAATAATCTGGAGTTACCCACAGACTGGCTGGCAGAGGGAGTATAGCCCTAGAAAGAGCAAAGTCCCTGACAGTGTAATTTCCAAAACACGCTCAGGAATGATGAAGTTCTGAGGTATTATTGTTTTCTTCCTGAAAGGTTTCACCTTTGACAGGTTTCTTTCTGGAGGCATTGTGTTGATCAACAGATGTTTGTTTACCAAGGTTTGATGTAAAACTGTCCACTAGATTTTGAAGGACCTGCTCATGGACATTTTTCTTTCCGTTCCTTTGATGGTCAATGTACATTAATTCATTATTACCTAACTCTGATTCTTGTTTCAAAGATCTTATAAGTTACACATTCACTCTGTGTTTTTACAGTTCTGGCACAGTGGAGTTCTAGCCTATGATCTGGGCTCATAGTTACCATGAAAAGACACTTATGAAGAAAGTTGAGTTGTGTAGTCTTCTAAATTAATAAAACTGGGTTTAAAAAGAGTTGACAAGCACAGAAGAGTTTAATAAAATCCAAGAACAGATTCCTAGAAAAAATTATCTAAGTCCACGCAAGGGAGAAAAAAGCATTCAATTCTATCTTAGGATGCTAGATTTTACTGGCAAAGATGGTGCCAGTGAGCAAAGTAACCATTCAAACCATTGTGCATTAGCAGTAATGTCTGGCTTTTCCCCCACTAAAACTAGGGTTGATGTTCAGGCACAGAAGACCTGGGTTATGAATGACTGCAACTGTTGATGAATGCCCAATGTGCATGTAAAAACCATTCAGTAAATAGAAAAGATGAGCTTTTAGCTTTTAATTTATAATTAATTCATAAGCAAAGATGGCTCTGGAGTTGTGCTGACATTATTTATATAAGTAATAAACTCAGAGTAGCTCACATAATGTAAATTAAGAGTTGATCTAGTTTTATTCCAGTGTAAACATCAAAAAAGCAGCTTGACTGACTCTGTAATTACCTGATTAAACATCTCACCATCCTAACAAAGGAATTTCTGTCCTAACATGAGTAGATATTTTATACAGTACCTACAGCTGCCTATGATAAGCTACTGAATTCTTCCCCCCCTTTCTTTTTCTCTTCCTTTTCCCTTCAAGTTGAATTATCTACTACTTCAATTTATCCTTCATTTGAAGGCACAGTAGTGCAGGCTGTCACAGCTTGTAAATACTGGCATTTAATCTGCCTCTAAGTGCTTGATTGGATACCAATTTTTAAAAGTATATGTAGATTTTACTTAGTTGCAGAGATTTCTAAAACATTCCCTCCCTCCTCCCTTTGACTTTGACGTGCTGCCAGATTTGACTGTTCTGCTGCTTTTGCTTTGTATCTGTCCCCCTGAGGTCCTTGCAGTTTGACAGCTTTAACTTTGGGATTTTGGTTTCTGTATCATCACAGTTCCTGAGTATTGTAATAATTTGCTGACAGTTGCACAACGAATACACTTCTGACATAATTTCCTACCTTTCTTCTTTGACCTCTGTGTTAAGAGGTGAGATGATGACATCATCCTCAGGAGGACTGTGATGTCATCAGAAGTAGAATAATGTTTCAGTCAATAATGAGGCACGACAGTGACCAGTGAAAAGCAAAACTGAGAGGATTATTTTGTCAAATGATCAAATGTGGGATTGCAATTGCCCAGGAACTGTTGCAGCTGGAATTAGAGGCAGGGCAGGAAGCATTGATCATGTACCAAAATGCTCATCTGTAGTGATAACATCTCTCGTGCCATCAGTGTGTGCATTGCATAACCAAACTTGATTTTGAACCAAGTACTTTTGGACTTGGTTTTGTGACAGATACACCCTTTCCTCTCCCTCACTGAAAAAAAAAGGGGGGAAAGGGGATCTCTAGCAAATGAATCACTGACAAGTCTTTTTTTGCTTCTCAGAATATAACAAGTCTTGATGATGAAGGTTCTCAGAAAAGCCTTTCTTTTTCCTCTAGATCCATATCCAACCATGCAAACCCATGAGAACCTCAATGCTTCCTTTATTTTCTAGCAGCTCTTCCCCAGTCAAAAGTCATTTCTCTGCTACAAAATACTTGGCTACTGAGAAACAGAAACTTCTGTTGAGTCCTGTGATCCAAATATCATCAAAGCAGAAGAGTGTAGGAGTATTTAAATTAGGAACAAGAGAGGCTAAATATATCAACCCTGCTGGAGCAACACTTGTACCAGTCCAATCTCATCAGAAAGCAATTTAGCTCCAAATCTGTAAACAGCCACAGTTGAGCTCTCTAAATATAATCTTAAAAAGCTTAGAAAAGCTTGAGCCCTGATAAAGCAAAGCAATTGCAATGTGAGGTTAAGGATATGACAGTGAAATCATCAACATGTTCTTTCTTCAGCCAAGACCACAATTCCTGCATATGCTTCTTCAAACACAGACCTGTATCCTGCTCGGGTAAAGTACATACTGGTGTCTAAGTGCACATGCATACAAGAAATGAGAGATCATAAAAAAGCTCGTCCATCCTCTCATGGACAAAATTCTTTCCAGCCCAAAATCTAGCTTTTCATCAGTCCAATATATCTGTGCATGACCAGCAAAGCTTCTGCTCAGAATACTGTTTTCAAAGCACAGCAAACCAAAATCATTGGTATTATTTGTTCAGAACAAAAAAGTACAAAACATACTTTGAGAACTTCAAACAAAGCTGGTCTGTTTCCCAGGGTGTAATCTTTTCTTCACAGTACCTGCAATGCTTAGAAACTAAAATGGCAATCTTAATCCCAAAGAGGAGAAAGATATTTGGAAACCAACTCCTTCTGTTGAGAAGTTTGTTGCTTTTCTCTCAGCCTCATGTCTGAAATTTCCAGACCAGAGTGCCTACCAATATCAAATTATCCTTGCAAATAGGTTCTGAAAGCTATCACTTGGGGATTGTAAAACTGGACATCTTGGT